GGGCGGGAAGACGAGTGAGTGAAGGGCTGCAGCGCCCCGCATCCGGAAGCGGGCTGTGCCTCTGGGGCATCCCTGGTGCCTGCCTCGGTACTTGCCCCGGGCCTGGCCCGCGGCGGAGGTGGGGGGGGAAAGGCAGAGGGAAGGAAGGGAGAGCTAGGCCCGGCTTTTCCGCCTCAGCTCGATTCCAAGGAGGCCTCTCCCTGCATCCATCTTCTGCGCTCAAGGGAGATATTGGTTTGGCACCGGTGCTGGTGCGGAGGTGCCGTGATGGGGCACAGCACAGTGTATGTGGGGTCTGGAGAGAGAGGGTGAGCACAGCTTTTCTGCACCAGAGGGAGGTGTTGGCGGGAGAGCCAGGCCCGGCTTTTCCGCCTCAGCTCGATTCCAAGGAGGCCTCTCCCTGCATCCATCTTCTGCGCTCAAGGGAGATATTGGTTTGGCACCGGTGCTGGTGCGGAGGTGCCGTGATGGGGCACAGCACAGTGTATGTGGGGTCTGGAGAGAGAGGGTGAGCACAGCTTTTCTGCACCAGAGGGAGGTGTTGGCCTGCCTGGGATTTGGCCATGGCCGTGGACCTTCTGGACCAGCTGCCCCGTTGGCTTTGCCTGTTACTGTGTGTTGTGCATCTCGAGTCGCCTAAATGAAAGGTCTCTGAAGCTTTCACGTGAAAAAACACGTTACAGGCCCTCAAGCAATAATGGCTCTGTGATATTTTCGGCACAAATGTTTTATGCCACAGGGCATCTTGATGTTTGGAGTTAGGGTATGTGTGTGCTGCCATGTTGCCTCTGCAGTCTTGTTCATTCTACAGTGTTTTTGCATCCCTGTTCAAGGAGTGGGATCCATTGCTGTGTTTCCATGTCTCCCATGCACTCTGTGTCGCCTGTTTGCTTTTCATTACGTTGCTTTCTGCCAGAGATGTTTTTCTTCAAATAGTGATACTGTCACCTGTTTCATTGCGCTAGAATGAGAAATTCTAATGAAGCTGAAAACTCCGAGTTATCTGCTGCTTTCTAAATAGTGACCCTGAGTATGGCTGAAGTGTATTTTCTTTTCTGCCTTTTATAATAGCATTTTTGTTTTCTTCTTGTCATATTCTACTCATGGCAGTGAATGTCATGTCCCAAGGTCTTGGTGAGTGTAAAGACAGATGGAGTTAATAAAAACAAATGTTCCTAAAGTTAAGGTCACAATACTGCTGGGTCTATGTTAGTTACTAAGTTAGATGTCCATAAGTGTTCTCAAAGTGATTTCTTCAGCCATCAGCTGAAATAGAAGTTACCGTTGATTAATGGACATCCAGTTGCAGATCTAATTTCAGAGGGACAAACTCTAGTCAAGTTAGGCATTCACTTGTATCTGCTTAGTGTTTATAATTCTGCGTCCCAGAATCAAAACTGGAAAGTTGTCTTATTAAAAAACAATCGCTTTGTCAGGGACTGCTTGTTATACAGTGCATCAAAAGAAACGTGAAATAACAATTTTTAAACACCCTTTAATGTGTGCATGGAGTGAAGCAGCTTTTTTAAAAACCCATTATGAGTCTCTTGTAATATTGATATTGCACGCTGATACTCAATCCACTAGTCGAGCCTTTGGTGTTTGTTCTTCACAGCGCAGTTGATATTTCTCTCCTGAGTTTAATTCTAGAAAGGTGGAAATGTTTGGTATGTCTTTTTCCAGAAACTTCTAGACTGTGCAGTGTCTAACATAAGATGCTTTCAGGTCTTAAATCTGATCATTCATGATTGTAGAAATAGTTTTTGTTTTCACGCAAATTCTGTTTTGTGACCAAGTGTTGTGCAGCCTGAAATACGGTATTCTCTTGAATCTTGTTTATTTAAATTTTGGGTTTATGTATTATCTAAATTTATTATTTTGGGGTGTATTTACTGTCTAAAATTTTCTTTCTGTCATCAGTTGTTCTTTTCTTTCCTTCCACTATTAATTAGTTTTAACTTACAAATGCGCATTTATATCTCTGATGAGCTTTACCAGCTTTAAAAGTTTGTGTTATTTCTAATCTCAACTTGTTTGATGGCTTCTTAAAGCAGTTGTGAATTTCTCTGTGAAAATAATGCATTACCTGTTTTTGAATGGGCAGACGTGATTCAATACTATTAACTTCTCTTTTGGAATAATGAACAGATTTCAAGTTATCGCTGTCCTGCAAAACGTAGCCACTTTTGTTTCAAATGAATGCGCTCTCTGGGTAGCTGTTGGATATGGTTGGTGATAGGAATGAGTCCATCTTTAAAAACTGTGCAATTTTTCTTTCAAGTTTATGCCATAGTATCTCCAGCTTTGTTCTGCATCAGGTTCAGTTCAGCCTGAGAACATTTCCATCAGCTTGAGTTCAGACAGGAGCCTCCCTTCACTAAGGTGTTTCAAGCACTGCTGTGTTTCCCTTTCTAGGTAAATGCCAGTGGTTGTTTATGTCCTTGCTTACAGGAAAGGAAAAGACCGTTCTGTTTTAATGAGCGGTGGGAGTCCTGTGGTGGGATATTAATGATATTTTTAAAGATTTTTTTTAATTAAATGATTATTATATTCAATTTTATACTTCGTGGATGCAATCTGAAAAAAAGTTAAAAGGAGATTGGATTTCTAATGTTTGTTAGGTTGAGTCTGGATAAATGAGCAGGGGAAGTTAAGTCCTATTATCTCTCTAAGCAAGTTGTGAAAAGATCGGTGGAATATTAACCTCTGTGTATTTCTTCTCTGAGATTCATCACTTCTCTGCAAGAGCTGTGTTCACACAGCATGAATTTTCAGTAAGTCAAAGAAAGATCAAGGCGCCTCTGAAAAACACTTAAGCTGGGGGCTAACTTAGGAGCTCTCAAATTCAGCCAACAGGAAGTGTTAGGCCTAAGGACCTTCCTTTATTCCATTAGTGCTCTCCGTTTACCAGAAATGTACCTTCATGTGGGAAAAGCCTGCTCCTTCAGCAAGGCTCAAGTAACGGAATTGCTTTGTTTCTGTACGTGTGACTCTGTCCAGCTGCCTCTTTTCTTCTCATTTGAAATTAAGTCGGTCATGCTCACTTCTCGCATCTCTTTTTCTCTTGTCCAGATGCTCTCCCCTTTATTTCTAGAATCTTAGACAAACTGAGGAATTAACTTGAGACATCAGTTACGAGCAGTTGTCCAATAACATCAACAAAAAGTGCCCAGCATTTGACTTCTTTAAAGACAAAATCGGAGCGTTATGGTGCAGGCATTATGTTGTTCCTCAGTCTTCCCCAGAACTCTCTGAAACAGATCATGTGTCTTCTAGGAAATGGCACAACCACTCTATTAAGCAGTGAGGTGTGAAGAAGGAGCTCTCGTTTTCCTGTTTGCTAGTTTTGAAGTTTACAGCCTTTAAATATTCTGGGCTATGGCTTACAGTTTTGTTGCAGGATCTGCTGAGCTGCTTTCTTGTGATCACCCTTCCTTTAGAAGAAGGAATGTTTGCATTTTTCAAGCTTTTTCTCCTCCATTGTCTTAATTGTTCAGTTTTATTTTTTAGGCGTGCTAAATTCTATGGCATTGCACAAATACAGTCAGGGCACTTTAATGGTCAAGTATTAATTACACAACTTTTGCTTCACCTTTCTTCTTTTTGCTTTATAGGAAACGGAAAAAATAGGTGTTCCAGTCCCTCCAGGTAAGCGGAGCAATGCTTGTTTTCCTTTAAGATACAAGTTCTTCTTTTATTCACGTTTCTTCTTAGCAAGTGGTGTATTCCTCATACTAACTTCTGATGTTTAATGAAAGCAAGACTTGCGAGTTGGCCTCTATAGGAAGTTGTGGAAATAAAGATAGGCTCAAATGTGGGAAATTATTGAAATTTATGCTGCGTAATGCTGTATAGAAGTATTAAATGTATAAAAGGTTCCCTGTTCATTTTGCTTTGATTTGTTTACATGAGAAAGCCATCTCTTGTTTTCCAGATTTAAACAGTTCCAAATTAAAAGGAATACTTTTTTTTTTTCTTATCTAAGGAAGCATGTCTATTAAAGCTTTTGCATGGAGCCAAGCAAAACACAAAATTCAGCTCTTCAGGTAACCATTAAGAGAATGTTGTTCTTTACTGTGGCAAATATGTTCAGTCCACTTGACTTTGAAACAGTACGCACCTCAAGGAGACCTCTTAAAATTGATAGAGACATTGAAAAGTTTTGACCTTGCCCTTTTATGTTTCAGTTTCCTATTGTAAAATTAAGCTTTAAAGTAAAATCTTAAAGATATTATGCTGCCTAAAACAAAGCAATTACACGCTGGGATATCTACAGAAAAGCTTACAGAGAGTTAATAATTCTGTATACGGTGAGAGTTTATCTTGCAGTAAAAAGGGGCACAATCCCGAATTAAATGTAAAGAATAAAAGGAAATGTTGGATGGAGATTGGTCTTGAGGAAATGGAAACATCTGCTGGAAAATGCATCGCTGGTGCTGTACTTAAGCACTTTTTAATGTACAGACCCAAGGGAATGCTATGTGCTGATGGACTACGATGATTCCAGTTTGTCTCAATGGCCTAACACAGTTTTGACCAACTTTCTTGGTTTTTTCAAACCAGAATGTGCAGATGTTTCTTGAGGCTGTTTTCAGTGCTGTTTGTGTCAGGCCGAAATTACAGGCGGGCAGTCTTTGTATTGCTGTGGTGCTTAGAATAAGTAATTACAGAGTAAGAGTGCACAGCCCGTGAGCAGCAGAGTCCATAGAGGTGTTTTGGCGTAGTGCTTGCTTTTTACAGGTAGAGTGTTCAGAGGCTTTAGCTACAAGTCTGACAAATCTTTACTAGGTATGTGTGAAGAATGGGTTTTTTTTTCTTTCTCTCAGCAAATGGGGAGAGGTGTTTTGCAAGGATTGTATACACAATAATGTATATACATGTAATATATACATATATATGTATACATGTACTAATATGTATATAAGTAATATATATGTATATATTTTTAAACAGTTATTTAAATGTTTAATAGAAATAGAACGGTTATCAGTTGTGCTTTCTATGTTCCTGTGTGTAGGGAGTAAAGAGAAACCAGGAGAACCTTTACCAGTAAAACAAAAGCAAAACAAGACATTGCTGAAGTCAGTGTATGGTTGTTGCTTTTACAAATCACCTACAGGAAGGTATTTGAGAAGCAAGCTTCAGAGTATGTAGTAATACATTCTGGAAGGTATACCTAAGATGTTTAATTAAAATCTTATAAAAAGAAACAAATAATTGTTGAAGCCATTTTTATAGCACATTTAGATAAACATTAGTGATGTTTTATAGGAACACTTTTTTAAATAAGCACACTCTCCTAAATATCAGCCAATTGCTTGCAAGCCTGTTTTTATTCCTCTGTATTGTATATATTTTGAACATGTATATATACTTGTATCTTTTACTGTACTGCTTGCTTTCTGAAAGTGATGAAAGAGGCTTATGACCTATAAAATAGGAGTGATGTGAAAGTATCTTACCTCTGCATTGAAAGTAAAACCTGAGATTTTCTGATTTAAGTACCAAAGTTGGTTATACTGCTAAGATTATTTCTTGGTTTTCCCATGTTCAGCTCTGATCCTGTTTCTCAGTGTAACTCAAAAGAATTCTGTGTATGGGTTTCTTTATGCTACTGAAAGGAATTTAGGGCTGGAAGGCTTACAGAAGAAAGCTGTCGTTCAGTGGACTGTAGCAAGAATCATTTCACTGAACTGTTCAGCTTACCTGAAGAGTAAGGCTGGAGTTTCACATTCAGATTGGATTGCTTCAGGAACCATCTTTTTTTCCATGGGACAAGGTGTTTGCTGTTGCTCAGGTAACAATCCAAGGTGGCTGTAATCCATCTCTAGCAATTGAGGTAGCAGTTTACATGCTTTGTTTCTTCTTTGGCAGGGTGAGTAGCGTCTTTGTCAAGACGGTGTTTAAGTTGCTATTTTGGTTTTCAGCGGAAGTATATTTTCTAAGTTCTTCCTTCTTTCTGTGATACTCTCTCTTAGAGCAGTCAGTCCTCAGTAGCCTTTTGAAATCAGAATGGCAATCACAAACTTCTTTTCTGAAAATTTGCTTTCTGTGTGTTAGCCTTATTATTCCTGTCAGGCAGCAAATAATCCAGAAGGAAAAGAGTAGGCAAAGGATGAGGTTGGTTTGTTTTCCTCAGCAGCAACAGTTTTAGTTGGGCTGTAAAGTTAACCATGCTAAATCTTCCAGAGCTGTCAGAACATTAGCCAGGTTTGGATTATCTTTTGCTGTTGTTCACCTCTGTTTCTAGCTGTGATGTTTTTATGGTATACTTCAAATTTCATAATTCTTTTGGGTTGCTCAGAACTTCACCCACTCAAATTTTGAATATCACCAAGGATGAAGAATCCACAGCCCCACCGGGAAACCTATTCCAGTGTTCATCTGCACTCGATGTGCTATTTTATCACACACGCACACCTTATACTTGCTCTTAACTTTGTCAGTGAATGTTGCATCTCATCCTTTTGTTGTACACTACCCAGAGTCTGGATCTGTTTTCTCTGTACCAATGCATTAGGTAGTGTAAGACAGCAAGTAGATCCTTCCTTTTCCATGCTGAACAAACTTTGCTTCCCGATATTCCTCATGTATGTAGTAGTCCAGCCTCCTAGGTATTTTGGTAGGGCCCCTGCTGGTTTCTCTCCAGTTTGTCGTCTGTCTTGAGGGTTTCAAAATTGGACACAGCAGTCCAGGTGTAGCTTTGTGAGTGCCAGATAGAGGAGTATAATCACTTCCCTTCATCTGATTGCTCTGCTCTTGCCAATTTAGGCCAGTAAGCTGTTAGCTTTCAATACTGCAAGCATCATGATGCTGAATTGTCTTCAGTCTGTCTGCCAGGAGTTACAAGTTCTGCCCTAAAGCTGCTTGACAGACACTTGGCCCTCTGCCTGCACTGCTGCATGGAGTTACTTAGTTCTAGGTGCAAGCTTTGCATTTGCCTTTGTAATAGGCAAATATGATCCTTAACAATTTGGCTACACTAACAAATATGAGCCCTTTGCTTTCCCATCCTGTCAAATCCGATTTCTGTTTTGATTTATAATGTCCAAGGTCTTGCTGGAATGCATAAGTGAACTTCTTTTCTCAGTGCAGAAATTTCAGTGTTTCAACACATTTTTTTCCCTCAGATGTTAGCTGGAATCCTTTTACAAGGCATTATCTCACAAAATTCCTTGTGGCCTGCAGCGAAATAATATTACAAAGATCAGGAAATTTAATCTATCTCCTACTTTTTTCCCAGCACGTTTGCCAGGAGGATACTTTCTTTTTCACAAGGATTGATTTTTAGTTTATAAATGAGACATTCAAAATTCACAGGCTTCATAAACAAAAACACAGAACCATGTAATGTCTTCGTATGCAAATGTGTGTTGGTAATACTCTTTTAAAACAGTAAAGGAGCAGACTTGAAAAATTGAGCGTTACAACTTATAGCCCAAGACAGATACTAATGGCATGGATCGAGTAGATTTTATGCCTGGCAGTATGCACTTATTAAAGACCAACAAACTGGTAACAGAGTGGGGAAAAAAATGCCCTGCATCCACTTCTGTTAATCAAAATCTTTATCCTTTGGATAAAAAAAAGCCACAGACAACACAGTTGTTTCTTGTACCTTCAGATATTTCTGATATGGATATAACTCTTCTGCTCATAGTGTATACTTATATGTGCATATTGTGGCCATATATATATATATATATATGTTGTAGCCACCATATATGGTGCCCCATGACCAAGATTTAACAAAGCAAATTCCTTTTGAGATCTAAAGGATAATGTTTCTGTTAGTTTTGAACCTGCATTTAAAAAAATCCAACTTGTGCTTGCTGAACAAGAATATTAAGCTCATGGGGTAGCTTTTAAGTTAAAGTTCCAGATAATACAAGGATGTAATCCTAAAGCTTCATTGGTTAGTGCCTTATTTTTTACCCTGAGGCCTTAGTTAGGAGTATTCAGACCTGTCCATAACCTTGTTAATAGTCTTTATTGGTGACAGTACCAAGTTCATATTTTGATCACTTAATGAAATGTTTAATCACTCCAGAAACTTGAGACAGGTTATGAACTCTTTGCAAAGCACAGCAGAACAGTCTCCATCCCTGATTTGCTTTGGCGTCCTTTCTTTGGGACGTAAATGTTTCCCTGAGCTGTTGGTGCCAAATGCACTAAAGTTTCTGGCAGCCGTTTATCTCTTCTTGGCTTGTGATCTCAGCTCAGTATCCTCATTCTGTTGAAGGTGTATATCTGGAAGTGACACTTTAGAATCTCCCACACTCCATGTTTTGCTTCTTAGCTCTTTGGTGCCCATGACCAAGGACACTGGAATTTCCTTCTCTTTGAAATGATATCCAGAAAGTCTATACAGTAGGGCTTTTACTGTACAGATGCAGGCAAAGGGATCAGGTACTGTGTTCCTTACAGATTTTTGAGGTATTAAGTCTTAAGCTGTTTGCTTCCACTCACTCGATCTGTCTTGTGTCTAGTACTAAATGGTGTACCAGAGGTGCAGATGCTTAGGATGGGTAGACAGTTTCAGAAACCTTGCAACTTTTCACAACCAATCTGTTGGGGATTTATTCTGCTTATGATCTTTCATCATAAAGACACATATTTATTCATCTTTATTTCCTTCATCAAGCCAAGTAGTGTTCAGACCTGACACTGTTAGTTCTCCATACAAACACTCCTATTTGAAGATGAATGCATTTCCTCCAGCGTAAAGCCACAGATGGGTTAGAAGTACTTGTCACCTCCTGGCTAACTTGGTGTGTTCAGGCCCTGTCCCACCCTGTTACTCGGCGTTAAGAGGAGATAACCTTAGTGTAGAGATTACTCATCACTACTTGGTTTAGTGATGTGACAACAATATCTTTATTTTAGATGTTCAGTGTACCAGAACTTTATTATTTTTGTTATTTGTGTACCAGTTTTATGCGTTGTCCAGCACAGACTGACCCCATCCCAACTGTGTCACTCTTTCTCTTCTCAAAGCAGTGATGCTACCTTGCAGTGTTTGTTCTGTGCTTGCAGGATGAGAGAGAAACAGCATCTCTCTCTGTCTGAGAAGGCCTGACTAAATACAGGATGTATTGAAGTAAACTATGGCTTTGAAAAATTGTTTCATGGGTGAATAGGAAGCATTGTATCATTTATCTTGACAAATTCACAGACTATTACATGTTTAACATGCATCATAATTAATATCTTTTAAATTACAGTTCCTTGCCATGAAAAGGAGGATATGATAGTTTGCCCTATGAAACTGGTTTATATGTGAAATCTGGCAGGTATGTGTATTAATGTGTGTGGTGAGTATGCATAACAGCACAAATGATGATGATCTATTACTGCTTTCTTAAATATTTTGTAGCCTGTTGGTAATTTAGCTGTATAGCAGAGACATTACTAAAGCACATGTTTTTGTAGTTAAATTTGTAGCAGTTTAAGTAAAGGGCTAGCTGTTAACTTACCTTTAAAGATGAGCTCTAAAGAATATGAAAAGACAAAGGAATCAACCACTTTTTCTCATCTGTTGGTACTGTATCCTTGACCTCAGGATCAGGAGTGGCTGAGGGAGCTGGGGCTCTTTAGTTTGCAGAAGAGGAGACTGAGGGGAGACCTCATTCATGTTTATAAATATTTAAAGGGTGAGTGTCACGAGGATGGAGCCAGGCTCTTCTCGGTGACAAACAATGACAGGACAAGGGGTAACGGACACAAACTGGAACACAGGAGGTTCCACTGAAATTGGAGAAGAAACTTCTTCTCAGTGAGGGTGACAGAGCACTGGCCCAGGCTGCCCAGAGAGGTTGTGGAGTCTCCTTCTCTGCAGACATTCAAAACCCGCCTGGACGCCTTCCTGTGTAACCTCATCTGGGTGTTCCTGCTCCGGCAGGGGGATTGGACTGGATGAGCTTTTGAGGTCCCTTCCAATCCCTAACGGTCTGTGATTCTGTGACTACTCAGTATTGTCTGCTGCTTTGTTCTTTTTTAACTGTGGGAATTGGGTCACTATTACAATGTGTTTTTATTTCAGTAATAAGTTGTCTTACTGTGTTTTCAGATATATTTTTGCAGTTAGTCATGTTGCATACAGATCCTTGCCTTTCCGCTTGAGATGTGTGTTCAGAATTGTTCAGAACTATTGAGTTTTGTGTACTTTCCTGACAGCTTGGAATCCAAGCTCTACTTGAATCCTGGGTATTTAGATTCTTAGTGTACTCGGAAGGCAGAAATTCTTGCCCATGGAATGTTAAAACGTCCTGTGGATGTATTGATCGTTTGTTGCAATGTTTGTAAAATGTGTTCTATTCTCATTTTAATAAAGGTAGCACAACGACCTGTGGAATATGAGTGATGACAAACCCTTTTTATGCACTGCCCCTGGATGTGGCCAGGTAATGGTCTGACTTGAAGTTATTGACATTGATAAAATCAGTAAAACAGTGAGATGTATTTCTAAGGATCACTGAAAAGGGAATTTTTGATAATTGGTAGAAAATACCTATGTTTTTCTGAAAAACAGGTGACAGCAAGAATTTCTAGCATCTTGTATGTTTATTCAGAAAATGCTGTCCATAGAAGAAAACAAGTAATTACCCTTTCTGAGCTGAAAACACTTTCATTTGTTAGCCCTGCTTTGCTTTCATTTGAAAAGAAAAATCAAGAAACATCCTGATTTGTATCAGGTAGCCTGTCTTTTTCAGAATATTTCAATATTAGTAGGAAGATCATTGCTTATCACTAATTTTCACAACTGTGGTGACTGCAAATATATTACGGCATAATTTTATTTACATATGTTTTTATATATAGGAAGATGCTAACAGTAGGCATGCCACAATGTGTTTCAAGTCCTACTGTAGTTTTAATGTATTCTATTAAGTAGCATTAATAGAGAGCTGAATGTGAAGTAAAAACACTGAGTGTTCTATCAGACGGTTGCTTAAAAGGAAGCTGTCTTAACACTAATTTAGTAACCTGAAAACAAATGAATTTGCATTATCTACTGTGTGATTGACATCCATACGTCCTTTATATAGGATTAATTTTTTAAGCTGGTTTTTTCATTATATTCTCTGCTGCCTTTATATAGAATTGATTTCTTAAGCTGTATTTTTTCATTATATTAATGCACTTGGATTTACTTGGATTTTGAATTAAAGGTATTTTCATTTTTGCTCTGAAAACTTAGTTTTTGTGATAAATGACAGCATTGCTGTTATATTAACAGAGCCTTCTGTATTTAAAGTGGGAAAGGACTAAGACTTCTTATGTCTGATACATTCAGAGCCATCAAAAGTAACAGAAGAGGACTGCCTGCCCCTAAGCAGCATGTTTGTTCCCATCCTATTTGAGTCTCGTTTTGATGTCAGAAGTGTTTTTGGCAACTAAATCTCGTGAAAGATGCCTCATCATACAAATGCAGCAATGCTTCATTCCAGTGAAGGAGAAGAGAGAAGTTTGTGTCCCTGAAAATAAGCAAGGCTTCTCCAGATGCCAGCTCATACAGTAGAATAGAGAGAGAGAGTCAGGATCTGGAGATCCTGTTCCCTCTGGAGAAGCCTCCCCATCACGTAGTGGGGACAGGAAGATGCACTTAAGTCTCTTAGTGTGATAAAACACCAAAGTTTCTGGCTTACGCTGTATTTAGATATAAGGCACAGGAGCTATGGACAGCCAGGCATTTGGAACACTTGACAAGTGTTGTAACAACTACAAACAAATGCCTGGCCTGTATCACCCAGCCTTTCAGTGATCCTGCACTTCTGATTTCCCTTGAACATACATGTTCTTTCTCACAGAAATACTCCAGGTGGCTGTACTCAGAGGTCAACTAAGTTTTCTATATTGTTTTCTGAGAGATTATACTTGGTGTGTTATCTGCCACAAGATATGTGTGGAGTGACTTAAATTACTGAGGAGTAGTCAGAAACATACTTCTCTTTGTGAACGTTTGAGTCCCAAGTTAAGAATTCGAATATTGTAAAATGTGGTTTTTAGGAAACCTGCATCTTGGGAAGCGTTTTCTTAGAGTACCTCAATCGAAACACTAACTTTACCCACAATTACAGATGCATAGCAAACTTCAAGTTAGTAAAAGTAAGAATATTTTACACCACCTGGTTTGTTTGCTTACTGCTTTTTTTTAATAGAATGTAGGGGGGACTATGTGCAAAACTGGCATACTTCTGAAAACTTGAGAGGTTTTTAAAATGCTGATAAGTTCAGTTCATTCACAGCTTTTCAGTTATCTGATGTTCCAGTGTTTGCCATTCTATCTGCCTTTTTTTTTGATATAGCAAATGGTCAGCAGCAGGAGCTATACCTTAGTTTCTCTGTACGCTCTTAGATACAGTCTGTGTTTGTGATTACAGCTCAGTTCTCATTGTTGTGATAGTACACACAATACAGAAATCCCATAGTAGTCATCCGTTACTAAGCATTGTCAGGGTTCATTAGTATAGCAAGTGGCCGTTTGCTAACGGCTGATGAAGTCTGCAGCACTCTGAAGTTTTATCTTGGACTCTTGATGAATGCAGGTACTTACACGACCATTTCCATGATATCATTACTACTTGGTTACTGTGAACATCATTTGAGTATTATAATATTTCTGCGTGGTACTATTAACCAAGGAGCAAGATGTATCTGCCTAAGAGGATTGACCTGTTAACGTCGTAACCGTTTTACATGTTGTAAAAATTGCTTTCTGTAGAACTACGTTTGCTTTGTTCACACTCAGAATTACAGCTGTTTCTTAAAACTTTCTGCTGCAGCGTTTTACCAATGAGGATCATTTGGCTGTCCATAAACATAAACATGAGATGACACTGAAATTTGGTCCGGCTCGTAATGATAGTGTCATTGTGGCTGGTTAGTATATACTTTTATAACTAGTTTATTCACTTTTCTGCTGGAATGGGCATACATTTTCTATATTTTCTGTACACAATGCATAGACTCCTGTTAAGAGAATATGAAACATTTTCTTCACTATATTTATCTGCAATGTGGGCTTAGGCAATGTTTTCATACGTAATTTTTTTTTGTCAGAATTTGAAGCCAATATTCTCCATAAGTAACTTTCGTTTGGATCTGATCTATAATTAAGTATTGTTCTATTATCAGTACTTTTCATAATTGATTAAATTATGTAGGAAGCATTCAGTAAGAGCACACAGTAATAAGGGCTATGCCTAGCAGGATCTGTCACTAGATTAAACTGTATTTAAGTTTTAATTAGTCATTGATATTACTTGTCTCTCAAGTTTTAAAATACGTAGTGTTTTTTACATGCTGTGGTGACATTAGAAGAAGGAATTAGCAATTATTATTCTTTAAACGGGATAGTAGAAGAAAGATTTGTTTGTTTTAGTTGTTTGAGGTATTTTAAGCTGAAATTCAAGATGCTTTTACTGTATTTCCACTTCTGGATTGATGGCACACCCTAATTTTGTTGTTTGTGCAGGCTCAGAAGTAATCACCACCAGATGATTGACTGCAGTATAAATGCTAAAGTTCTTGAAGATAGCAGATGCTAATTTTTCTGAAGTTACAGTCAGGCTGTTTTTTCAGCGGTAGAACAGCCTAAATGAACTTTGTGAAGGCTTTCAGACACTTTCAGAACTTCTTCCTTATAAATGGCTAATTTGTTAGGACAAGCAGACAAGAAGAACTGTTACTCTTAAACAAGCAGTTACAATTTCAAGCTTCTAAATGTGATCCTCAGCAGTTATACCGTAAGAAAGGGGACCTGCCAAATACTCAGGTGTTTGAGAATGAAACCATGGCAGCATTTGTCTCTTTGCAGCCGCATTCCAGTTGATGAACCGTTAGTCGTAAATGCCAGCTTATGTTAGCAAGCTGCACAGAATACCACTTTACAGTATTTTAAATGCAGGTAGCTTTGTGGCAAACGTGGTTAATTTTGACCTGGTAGTGCTAGTGAAATAAGGGGAATTTACATAGTACCGAAAACTTCATAGAAAGAGTTACTTAAAACTGCTTTATGCAGTAGTCAGCCAGATACCAGAAGTCTTATGATTCCAGCTTGACTATGCAGGCATTGTAGGAGTCAATATGATCTTATGCACAGTATCACATTTCACTGCCTTTTAGAAGTTCCTTGCACTTGAAAGTAATCACTGCTGTTTTCACAGGACGAGGAGAAAGAGACAAACTGAGCTGTGCACTTCCCCTCCCCCCACCTTTTTTGTTTGTTTGGTTGGTTGGTTTTTAATTAAAGCCTTCATGTAGGCCTTATCTTTATTTGAAAGTAGTCTGCTTGCTCACTGAAGTGATCTGCTGTGCTAGACTGGGCACTTGAGAATAGCTCCCTCTGGTTTCTGGACACAAGGGGAATGCTTTGGTGCTCTCCCAACACTGCAAGGGTTTTACTGGTTTGCAAGCTTCAGTTCCTTGTCTCCAGCAGGTGGAGTAAACCTTCTGGTTGGCCTCCCTGCAAGTCAGAAAGGAGTCTGCTTGCAAGGCTTAAGAGAGTTCTTAACCACGTTGTCTCTTTCTGCTTGCTTTTATTCTGAAATATTTACTATAACTTTGTAAATGGTCTTTTAAAAATAAAACTGTGGGGTTTTTATACACTTCATTTCAGATCAGACACCGACACCAACTCGATTCTTGAAGAACTGTGAAGAAGTGGGCTTATTCAATGAATTAGCAAGTCCTTTTGAAAATGAGTTTAAAAAGGCTTCTGAAGATGACATTAAGAAAGTATGTTCAAAACCTTTTTCTTCTCAGAGCTTCTACTTTCTCATATCAGAAATGCCATTAAAAAGGCAAACTTTGGATTTATATATTGCCTTCTAAACTATCCCAGTAATCATTTGCCAGCTGCTTATATATGTTGTATGGAGAGAATGCAAATCTAAGATTGCTCTTGTGAAGATGAGTTTATCTGATTAATTCTCCATAGTTAGCATGGACAATTGACTTTGTCTTAATTCTTGAAGTATCCAGTCTGTACATGTTGAAGTTCATCTTTTAGCTTTGATTTGAAATTTCGTTAAGCCCTGAGTAAGCAAAACCCAAGTCTGAAAAGTGGAATTTTTGCAGAAAGAAAAAAATTTGCAAGAAGTGTCTATGAAAAGAATAGTATGTGAACGTTGATTGTTTTGATTCGTTTCTAAATACCAATATTATTCTAAGATTCGGTAGTAACGGTGATGTTACATACGGACTAAATATAATGACATGTCATTAATTTGGTTATAATAATAATCACTGTGTTGAAATCACTTTTGCCTAGAAAATACTGCTGACAATCTAAACATCTACGCTTTTTAACATGCAAATTGAAATATAGGAAAAAATTGAACTGTAGTTGTTTAACAACTTCTTGTTTTTAAGAGGAACTTCCTTTACATTTACGTGTGGTTTCTTCTACTTATTTTAGTACTTCCCAGTCATAACTGCTTAGGGGCCCAAACATTTAAACACTTCTGCAAATGAAAAGATTTTGTTCATTGTCCCCTTTGAATAATTTTACCTTTGGTTGATTACCATAGGCAGTGATAAAAAAATTTGCAGAATCGGTGTCTGCATTTTCTTTGTTTCAGTAAAGATTTTAATAGGAACTTGTGAGCTGGATGGATTATGTCCCATTCCTGACAAAGCCTCACCCTTGCTTTGTTACCACAACTAGACCACAGTGTTGGCTTTTATTTTTTTATTAATTCTTGTATGCTAAGTGTTCTTATAACACTACATATGGTAATACTGGTTGTGGATTTACTAATATTGTATTTTCTGTGTAACTCACCACTACCTTGGAGGAGGTTACAGGTACTGCAAAATATTTAAATGTTTTAACAATTTCTTTAACTGATACTAATATTCCAAGCTACCTGCTGTGTAATGAGAAGAAACACGGTCCTGCCATATCTCTAGTTACTAATATTGTATTTTCTGTGTAATTCACCACTACCTTGGAGGAGGTTACAGGTATTGCAAAATATTTAAATGTTTTAACAATTTAACTGATACTAATTTTCTAAGCTGCCTGCTGTGTCATGAGAAGAAACACGGTCCTGCCATATCTCTGGTTGGTTAATATCATAGCAAGGGGTAGAAAAATTTACCATAATAGCACACTTTCTAGGGTGTTGATAGTTTGGGGTTTTTTCTGTAGTGTTTCATATTCAGATGTGGTATGAAAAGGAATTCCACTTTTAGCAGTCTTCCCTGTCCATTAGTAATATATTCCATAGGAAAACTGGCAATCGAATTGACAAAAGGCATCTGGAAGAACATACACAGAAGATGAACTCTGGGGGAAGTTTCTTCAAAAAGTTTTTAGATAGCAGGCTGGACAGAAGTCTAAGCTCTGGAATCTCTAGTATTGCTTTAGGTATTTTTGTAGCTTAACTTCTTGATGGTATTTCAGATGTCCTGGTGGTTATACCCGTGTAGTAATATAAAACTTACTTTTTCAATAATTACTTTCTGCAGTAAGTTTGAAATTGTAATGTCCACAGTAGCTCTGTTAATTTGGAAATGTAGTTAGGATTTTGTGTTTTGTGACATGTGATACAATAATTTATAGGAGGATAATAACTTCCTTTAATTTTTAAGGGTAGCTCAGTCCTTCCTCAGATATAGTTTTCCTGTGATGCTTGGGGAAGGAAAAGTTTGAGTGGTTTTTAATTCTTAAGAAGAAAATACTTAGTGTGACATTGGTATTGAAAGACAGTTACTAAAGATGGGTATTTGTTCAGGTGCTGGAAAACTGGCTTGATTGGTAATGCACCTGCATCAACAACTTCCAAACATCAGGACCCCCCTGTTGTTATAATGCTGATTTTTCTCTTTAGTTGCTTACATTTTCTTGCATATTTGAATTTTTTTTAGAGATTGAGTAATTGTTTTACAAATTGCTCTTAGATGCCTCTAGATCTGTCTCCTCTTGCAACACCAATTATAAGAAATAAAATAGAAGAACCTTCCGTTGTAGAGACAACTCATCAAGATAGTCCTTTACCTCATCCAGAGTCTACAACCAATGATGAAAAGGTCAGAACTCCTTTTTTTTCTGCTTTGGAATTAATTTTTCAAATCTTCTGATGATCTGTAAGTGTGTTGTACATTATGATAGCCACACTGCTTAGCTGACTGAAAGGAAAGGAATTCTTGTTGGCCATATTCCTTGTTTATTTTATGTTTTACCATGAATTGTTTTGTTGAACAGCAGGGGATGGTCTTCAAAAGTGTACAGGGGTGAATGGGCTGCCTTTCAAACCTAAGCACCAGATAATTTCGTTCCAAATTACTCCTTAGGCTATAGCAGTGAGTTTAAAAGTGGAGATCCTGCATTTTCAGGTTTAGTGTTTACTTGAATACTCATAGAAGTAAATACTCATAGAGGTATTTTCAGTCACTAGAGAATGTTGCAGTCAAATCAGTTATGGAACTGTTTCTCTAAAGAAGAAATGAATGATTTAATAGTAATGATAACTGAGATGTGACTTGCAGTGTTTTCGTCATGTGGAGTTCTCTTGAAGAACACAAAATGAGGCAAAATTAAATGAATTAATAATTTGTTCCTACTTCAAAAAGTAAAATTGTTAGGAACAGAACATAGTAAAGCAGTATGGTTGCTCTAGTCAGCCTGTTTTCTGTGTGCATCTTCAGTAGGCAGTCTGCATTTGGGGGACTTAGCTACCTTATGCCTGAAAATTAGCAGGACTTCTTAGGATCACAGGGTGATTCAGGTTGGAAGGGACCGCAGGAAGTTCCTGTTCCAGCTTCCTCCTCAAAGCAGAGATTAGCTTGGAGATTAGACCAAGCTACTCAGGGTTTAACACAGACTGGACTTAAAACCTCCGAGTGCAAACTGTTCCTATGCTAGGCTGTCCTTGTGGTGTAAGTGATTTTCTTTGGATCCAGTTTGAACCTCTCTGGTTTCAACTTTCCCCCTTCTCTTATGCTGCCACCAGGCACCAGTGTGAGAAGAGCCTCAAGCGTGTGACAGAAATTGAAGAGTTTCAGTTCAGATTTGTCTTTACAAAGTTTTGCTGAGTTTTATTAGTTAGCAAGGGTGAGTAATCACAGGTAATAAAGGCAATCATTAGTCAAAATAGTAAGAGCAGTTTAAAGGAACACATGTGAAGAACTGATTAGATTAAGCAAATCGTAGTCCAAATCTTAAGTCGTCTTTATTTCATTTCTTCTTTATTTCAGAGGTTAGTTTGTTGTTTTGCTGCAAATATTTATTCGAAGTACTCTAATTTTGGCAGGAGATAATACTAATATCTTTATACGCTAGTGGTTCAGTATGTCATTAGCATCCTTGCAAGTGAAAATTGTATCTCAGTGCTTGGCAGTACTTCTAAACTTGTCTCATTCGTGATGTAATTTCAGTGTTGTCACTACAAAGGTGCTAAAGTGAAAAACTGCTGCTGCTCAAAGCTGTTTTGATGTCTGATTGTAGAGACAAGCTGAGCAAGGATGAGGGTGCTGCTGCTGCTGAACGTGGCCTGCAGAAGTTGAGAAATGTGAGCAGAGCGTTGCTGGTTTTTCAGTTAGATTTTTGTGTTCTCCTCTAGGTGTCTTGAGGAGAGAAGGATATTTTGGTTCTTTTCAGGGCGCAGCTGGTTTTAAGATCTACATAGCACTGCAACAATTTCATTGGCTGACTAGATTTTATTAGCCTTAAATGAGTACAGCCTCTTAATGTATGTGCAAGACAGTTCTGTAATTTCCTTATAGTTGCCAAAGGAATTTTAGAGGTTCTTAAAAATAATTGTTTTCTTAGTTTTCCAAGAATTCCCCAAGTTCTGTAAGGCTTCAATAAGAGTTGATATCTCCTTTGAATAGAACAAGAAATCATTAGAAGTATATAAAGACTTTTAGCCTTAAAATAATGAATACATGAAGCCTAATTATTGTTTCAGAGCTTTCAAACTTATTATAGTTTCTTATTAACAGTAGGGTGACCCTCAACAGTTTCACCAGTTGCTTAGTTGTTGTCAGATAGTTAATTGCCTCACTTAATTATTTTAAAACCGTTTGTTTTCTTAGAATAACAATCAGTTACAGTATTAGTGCTGGCCAGCTACATTTTTGTTTAAAGAATTTAGGTATTCATTGATAGCATTAGGAAGTTACTGCATTATGTTTGCTTTTAGATACGAAAATACCTGCAAATATGCATTGCTGAAAACGCTTCTTAAATGAAGTAACTGTCCTCGTCTATAAAATATTTTCTAATTCGGTGGGTTTTAGTTTCAAAAATAAAAGGGTTGGCGAGGTCCTTTCAGTAAGTCTCTAATACCTTTGATTAGACTTAAACTTCTTTCTTGTAAAGGTAAGATCGTTTTGGCTTAATCTCACGATTACAAATTCAGCTCTGTTCTTCTTTTCTTAGCAGAATGTATTTACAAACTTTTATTTCAGACAAAATTTATACTTCATCAGTGCAGTGCTTTAACGAGCAATTTGTATCTTCTTTCAGACCAGTGTGCCTATGGTTTTGTTTTTATATGCTATTAAAACGCCAGTTTCCCTTAGATCCATGCTTCTTATGTCTGCAGCTTGTGTTATCACCACATTGTTGCAGTAACTACCATATGCGTACATGTTTCAGAGTATAGCATGGAGCAAATTAGTGTAAGAAGGACAAAGCTGAACGTACTTTGTTTTCAACTGTATAAACATACTCATCATGTTTGTCATTAAAGGGATGTGTTATTCCTTTAATGGTTGAGGATCATTTCTGATCTTCTAAAGAACAAACGCTGTCTTTAATAACGTGCGGACATAATTATGTGCATGTGAGGTTTCTGTTTTTAGAATTTTATAGATTTATTTCAGCATTTTATACATTCATCTTCTTACCGTTGCTGACATCTGGTTTCCATTGAGCGCTTTGTCCTAAAGTTGCAAATCACCTTTTTCCTAGTAGGGGATCAAGCCACGGAGAGACCCAGTCAGTATTTATTAGAGCACCCATTAATTAAGCTGTTGTCATTAACAGCCAATAGGTATTCACAGACTGCCATAACTTACTTGCTCACATAGTTACCTGGTTGCAGCAGCAGTGGGAAGGCCAATCCCAGCTGCTTGCTCAGAGGTGGAAGGTAGGACTGGCACTCCAGTGACTTCTCGGTAGGTGTTCAGAAAGTGTTCAGGGTCAACTTGACTGGGACTCTGAGCAACCTGATCTAGTGAAAGATGTCCCTGTCCATGGCAGGAGGGTTGGGCTAGATGATCTTCTTCCAACCTAAACCCTTCTGTGATTCTAGGAAAGTCCTTCAAGGGGTCCATTCTTTCATCAAGTGTACATATAATCCTGTAGTCTTTGTTCACATGTAGCAACCACCGTGGTTTTGGATGCTGTCTGAATTGTACGGCATGTTCATGCTAGTGAATGTGTTCATGCTAGTGGCGTTGTATAGAGATTCAGCTGGTGTTCTGAGTTTGAGCTGTTGCAAATTCAACAGGGCTGGTTCTCTCTGGAGCTTACCTTTTTTTGGGAGACTTTCACACGCTGTCTCTCAGCACTTCTCGTCTTGGCCTTCTGTATTTTGGTAGCCATTTCCTCGTCCACGCACACAAGCCACTTGCACAGGCCTGTACAGAAAGGGCTGTTATGTCATTACTGTTGTTGAGAATGCGTGAATATCTGGTTAGTTTAAACTTTTGTATTAAAGCTTTATGCATGACTCCATGGCTGCTGTTACCCAGCTGTCTTTTTTCCCCTCTTTTTATGGAAATGAGAATTACTTTGCCATAGCTATTTAGTCTGTGGTGTTCATACATCTAAATTTATACATATACTTTTTTAATCTATGTGCTTGCCATGTATGAAGATGTTTCAGGTGAAAGTAGAAGTAAGAGCTCTTACACTTGTTTTCTGTCAGGAGCAAACATGGGTGTTCCTGTGCCATATCCATACAATGGGAATGGACTTTGTAGCTGCTCCTTGCTTACAGTAACAAAACAGATTATAGCAGCAAACGGCACACAGGAAGGGGTGAAGCTGAAGCCAGTGAAGAATGATACAGTATTAATTTCTGAATTAACCGTTGCCAAACGACTGTCAGGGCAAGCATACTCCCTTTATGCCTTCTTAATGTCCCACAGTCAAGCAGTTTCAGTCTCCTTTGTTTTCCTTGTGGCTCTTCTCACTGAATAAGGTCTGCAGAGCTGTTACACCAAATTGCTTGTTTGCCAAGGAATGTTTAATCCTGTTCTAAGAATGTGCATTAGTCAACCCTTCCCATTTTTTTCCGTTTCTGTGATTCCATACTGGGTGTCTTCTTTTGACTGAACGCTCATCTGTAATTCTAGGTACTGTGTTTAAATATGATAACATTTTATAAATACACCAGATTGACACTAAAGAAGAAACTCCTGCCTTCCGCAATATAGTGCACTGTTATTCTCCAGAAACTCTCATTCACAGTAGGTGGTCTTTTAGGTCCCTTGGGGAAAAACCTGAATGAACTAATGAACCCTGATGACAAATCTAGCCCCTGAGCTTCTGAGGAGAGAAAACTTTGTAATCTCAAGTAAAGTCCTTTCTTTTTTTAAAGCCCACAGTTTGACAGCCCACTTTTATGAAGTGCTCAGAGGAGCGCACACATTTTGCAATGGGTGTGTAAAAAGAAAAAGAATCTGTAAGGCAGATCTGTAAGACCTTACTACTTAAAGCTTTGTTGTTGAATTTTTAAAACTTGGGCTTAATTAAGAGCAAGTGGTGGTCATTGTAGCCTATATGACACAGGTATGAGATGGTCTCTTTGAGGAGTTTAACAGTGGAGCAGCTAAAGTCTGTTGGTCTTCAGAGTGTAGTTTTATGTGCCACTGATTGCAGTAGCTGGTGTCAAAAGAATAAATAACATGGAAGAAACCTGTCTGAAGGTAAATCTGAATTCCGACAATATCAAGGGTTTCCTGAGAAGGAAGGCATTGGTTGCAATGAGGCTTTCAGAAATATCAAATGCAGATGCTACATCCTAATGGTTAATGTACTTTACATAATTGCTAAGCTAAGAACTTTCTACTGTTTAGTTGCAACTGAGGAAACTTAATTTAATTCTGTGCTGAAATAATTATTTCTTCATGAGGATATGCATATATTATACAAAGCTATGAATGTAACACTGAGTATTTTTAACTTAGTAGCACTCAAGAGAAGTACATAGGTAAGAGGTAAAGCCTTAAAAAAGAGGCAATTTTTTTCCCTTTTACTGAACCGTAAAACTCTTTTGTTTCTCTTGTTTAAATCCAGAACAGTGGATTGAAACTGAAACATACGTAAGGATACCATGAAATGTTTTCCTTATTCAGAGTGTTGGTAGACATGATGGTGCTGATAGCACTGCGTTTCTTGGCATAAAATCCTTAATCCTGAATTGTAAGTGTAATAGTGGCCTTGTCATAAATTGAGCCAGCATTTGTCATACAACTAAAATCACTGGTGTTGGAACAGTTTAGCTTTGGGTTAAATGATTCATCCAGAGGGGTTTTTTAAAATGTTTTGAATTGTATAACCGATTCTATTTTCATAATGTTATAGGAATTCTGATTTGTTCCATCCAACTACGTTCATTTAGCAGTTGCAATTAATGGGCTATAATAGTATTTTCCAAACTGGTTATTCTTTGTTTTTCTTCAGGAAGTGTCACTGCAGCAGACCGCACAGCCTACATCAACAATAGTTCGTCCAGCGTCGCTACAGGTTCCTAACGTACTACTTACGAGCTCTGACTCCAGTGTTATTATTCAGCAGGCAATACCATCACCAACATCTAGTACTGTTATTACCCAGGCTCCATCCTCTAACAGACCAATAGTGTAAGTTGCATAAATCTTAGTAAACTGTTCTCTTACAGAATTTAAAGATATTTTTACTTTCAGTTACTGTTTCTGCAGTTAATGTACAAACTTGAGATGCTTTGGTGTAATGTGGTGCTTCACTACATAAGACACATACAACTTCCACTACATGTGAAATATAATTCCATGTTCTCCACATCACTAAGTCCATATTTTTGATCTCCGAATAAATACTACATTACAACTGTAAAGAAGCAAACAAATTTAAAATACTGTGTAAACTTGTTCTCTTCTCTGGATAAGTTTTCTTTTATATAGTTCATTCCTTTTTCAGTCCAGTTCCAGGTCCTTTTCCTCTGCTGTTACATCTTCCTAATGGACAAACCATGCCTGTTGCTATTCCTGCATCTATCACAAATTCTAATGTGCATGTCCCTGCTGCAGTTCCAGTAAGTAAGCATGATGCTATATTAATTTGAAAATGGAGCAGATTTGCATAAGTGCAGCATAGAACGTGGTTCTAAGCAGTTTAAGCTGTTTTGGCTTCAGAGGGTAGTGCTGTCGTATGCTCTCTATTATGATAACATACTCAGGTTTTCTTCATTTTTATACTTTATCTGGTCAGCTTGTTAGACCTGTCACCATGGTGCCTAGTATCCCAGGAATCCCAGGGCCTTCCTCCCCACAGCCAGTGCAGTCTGAGGCTAAATTGGTAAGTGAAAAACTCCATTATTCCTCAAGAATAACAGCTTGAGAAATGAATTTAAATTCTGTTGCTTTTTAAAACAGTTTTAGTTTTCTTTTGTTAGTCTAAATTCTGCAAGAACAAATTTACTAAAAAAAGAAAATCAACAGCTGCATTTCTTTTACAGTTATGTCAGATTCCAGCGTGTGTTAGTTCTGCTGTTAATGGTCCTTTTGATCTTATTTTCAGTCATTCTTTTAAATGAGTGAGATTTTTAACTAAACTCCTTCTTGCTCCTTGTACTGGAGGATAGGAAGTGTTAATTGGAAGAAAAACAAGATTAGTCACATGTTAACAGTTAACATCACCTTCAGAGAAGCAGTCTGTGCTTCCTACCAAGGGATATATTTCTTTAAAAAGAAAAAAGCCTAGGAAAAAGTGGTTTTTTTAACAATGTTTTCAGACTCTCACCTCAATAATAGTCCATTTGACAAGATTTTTGTAATTAGGCGTGCGTGTATTACTGACATACTTAGGAATTGTTTTGTGTGGAGGTTGTTTCTTGTGTTAGGAAACTTTTGGAGGTTTGGGGATGTTTTGGGAACTTCATGAGTAAAACAAGCAGAATTAAGTTCATTATTATTTTTTTAATAATAGTTATGGTGGTAATTCGAATCAATCAGTTTCTTGAGAAATTTTCTGCAACATGAAGTAGTTGCTTCTCTGTTTTTGCTGTCTTGTTTGTTTGTTTTTAACTGTCCTAAAGCGATAGAAAATGTATATTAAGCAATAATTAACCCGTTTGTGTATTGACAAAATGCCTCTGTTAACAGTATCTGTCCTGTGAAGTAGTGTTCCTGTTGTGACTCTTGCTTTGTGCCAAAAAAGAATCGGGAACACGTGCTAGATAAAATACAGTTTTGTACATCATTATTGAAAAGTGGGAGGATGCCCTTAACATCCTTTGATATCTCATTTCTCTGCACCTAAGCCTGTGGGCTCTCTTTCCTTACCCATTTTCTCTCCTCAAGCCACAATATGAAAAACAGTGAGCCTGGTAATATTAAATATTCTTCTGTCTGGAGTAATGGGATTCCAGTGGAGTGGTCACACCGAACCATTTCTAAAACAGTGGAGGGAGGGACAGAAAGGAACAAGGTCTGTTTCTGTACATCCTTTTCGCCCCAGGAATGGAAAAAGGAATCTTTTAATACTCCAGTAAATACTTAAGTGTAACCAGCTCTGATGAGATAAATGCATCTCGAATGCAGGAGAGAAGAGCGTAAGAAAGGGAAAACAAGAAATGTTTTCTCCGAAATTGCACATTGCTTAGAGTCAGGAGGCTCATGCACTGCATTGCGTTTTGTGAAATCAGGAGGAACTGGTTCCAAGTAAGTTCTGAAATGAGCAAGAAACTAGGATTTTTAAGCATACTACTGAGTGATTTGCTCTTACAGAGCTTTAAAAGGGGGAAGGAAATGCATGTACGTGGTAAAGATTTTGATCTCGCGATGGAAGAAGCAATCACTCAGATGCAAAGAAAAACAAAGATCATTAGACTTAAAATTTAACCGTCTCATTAGTGTTCTCATTAGAATTTAGCTAATATATGCACTTCAGTGATTGCTTATCTTTTTTTTTTTAAGTGAGATTGTAAAAAGGGTATTTGCGGTATTTCCTTTTTCTCCTTTCTTGTCACTTAATATAAAACATGAGCAAAATTCAAGAGTGTCAGAATTGTGTATGCTTCTTATACTCATTTACTTTTATATAGTGCCTATTCACAAAAATAAAAAACCTAATTTCTTATCACTCCAAAAGTAAATGCAACTTAATGAGAAACATAATGTTTATGTAGAAAACAGGCAGACTAACTCATGTGGTGCATTGTTGGCAGATCTGTGATGGTTTATTAACTGTAAAGTTCCATTTAAGTTCTAAAATTTAAGTCTCTGCGATGCCAATTCTTTTCTTTTTCATGTACCTCTTGAAAATAATTTTCCTTGCTGCATGCTAAATTCTGCAAAGGGTATGGTAAACAGGTTTATTTTTCACTTGTGCTCCTGGTTGAGCCAACAGAAGAATTAATATTTAATTTTACAGCTACTTGTTTGCTTTTAATTTCATGAATAGTTCACATTTAAAGTTGAAATAGAAGCTATTCCACTGAAATTTAATAAGTGAGCAGTGTGTTTCATCGCAGTGTATGTTTTGTCTAGTAACAGTATACTGCAATTTGTGGATTTATTAGCATGTTGGAGTTAGCAGAACACTGGGAACACTTCCTGTGTCCTTACCATAGCCTCACTTCTGCTTCATGTTGGGGTCGAGTCTATCACCCTCATATTCTTAGTGTCTTTTGGACAGAAGGCTGGATGAAGAGGCGAAGCTGTGATGTTCCCTTCCTAGCAGCCAAGGCCCAGGAGTCGGGATTTTTATACATCTCTTGAATTTTCTTGGCTGTTGCTTTGTCTGTTTATTATTTGGTGAAATTTTTGTTGTTCTTTATAGACAGACCTTGCAGTCTTACAGAATTTTTCGTACTGCATTTTAAAATGTAGAAATAGAATAAGTAGCAAATATTAAAAAAAAAAAAAGCTCATTTAGTTTCCTAACGTTGCAACTATTCCTCAGATATTGAAGTACTTTTGGTAGTGGGATGCAATATCTAGAAAGTTTGCTTTTTCGTATCTCAAAAAGGTTTTGTCTCGTGCTTCTGGCCGCTGTTGTTTGAATCTCTCTTATTCAAAGACCATACTTTCCTAATACGGTATTCTGTGTTTTCTGCTGTCATCTGTATGACAAGACTATTTCAAGGTATTCTTAATTGACATAGATCTACCTACTTCAGAGGTTGAGTGAAATTCTTGAAAAACTGCTTGCAGTAACTTTGTCACTTGAAGATGCATTATCCTGAAATTGCCAAATCGTTAGCAGACATAGATGTGTCCTGCATGGAAGGCACCACTCCTCATGTTATCGATGAAATAGCTGGCACAAACCAAGGCAGGAACCAGGCACTTCCCTTCATTTGTACTTTGTGCCTTTCTTACAGAGGCTGTTTCTTCAGTTCATTTCTTGCATCGTGTTTCAAGGAGCTATGGTGATAAGGATGCGTGATTCTAAATATTGCAGAATTGCTCCTGATCTCTCTGTGAGAAGATCTGCAGTTGTATGGTTTCTGTATATGAAATGTGAGCCATAAGCTGCTTCTAGCTGTAAAACATCCCTTTTTTGACCGTACAGCTTGTGGATGCAAACCTAATGTTCAGACCCTTCTGCATGGATTGCAGAAGTTCCCAAAGAACTTAAAAACTGCTTAAAAACACCGAATGTTTCCCTCCATCTCCTCCTGCCCGCATAGACCCTCTTGTCACAGTCTGAGAAATACCTGGCGTGCAGTGGGCAACCAGTAGGCTTTCTGCTGGAGGTTTGTACAGAGGAGTGACAGAGGGCAGCTTGGCAAATGCTCAGAAGCCGACATTAACTTGCTGGAGCCCGGCATGGGACCTTGTGTTCAGCAGAATTCTTCTGACCTGTCTCTCTGCATGCCGAGCTAATCAGCAAACACCTAATGAGCCTGCTCTAAAGAAACAGACCCTCTCACAACCTACTTCATTTTCATATGTTCTCTGGGGGTGGAGAGACAAGACTTCATAAGGACTGATGATGCTGCAAAGACCACAATAATGATAATTAACTTGCTGAATTTAGAAGATTATGCTGTTAATTAGTTGCAAAATAAAGATAAGTAATAGAGCAGCAGATGGTGGGATAACACCCAGGAGAAGGAGGGTTATTACTCTGATGAGCTTTTGTGGCAGATATGAAATATGAATCTGAGTTTTTCACAAATTGTTTCTGGAGAATATTATCTTGTTTCTGGGAGCTCTTGATGATGATCTAGTCCTACCAAATTTTGACAGATGTGGTGAGGATTTGTTTTCAAGGATAGACGTGAAAAATAAAACCTTGCTAATAAAGACTTTAAAAGCTATTAAGCTATTTGGAAATATCACTTTTAGTTTGCCTCTGATAACCAAATAATACCAAACAAACCTTGGTTGTCATCAGGTTTCCCCACATAATAATGCTCATGTAGATTTATTCTAGTATTTGTTTCAATAAACTCGTTTTTTGAAGCGGAGATTCTTCCTCTATCTGGGGTAGCTATCTCAGTACTCGCAGGAAGTACAACACCCATACAGTATTTTACTCCAGCATCACCTTCTAAAATATGAAACCTTTTGAGTGCATGAGCTGGGTATCTCCTGGTGAAACTCTGTAGATATTCCTCACATTTCTGCATTTGTGGATAATTTTAATTGTAGCTATTAAACTTCATCATGTTTAACAAAGCATTTCTAGGAGTTTGTAGACTCTAGTTTCGGAGTATTTTTGTGGAGGATACTTACATCATGGTTTGCTTATGCAGTCACAAGCAGAGTAGATCAGATACTGACTGTTTAAATGTTTATGCACTACTGCCATGAAAATTAGAAGTTAAGTTGTTACCACTGAACTTAGATATTCAGACACTTGAGTTGGATGAAGTCTGATTTTTACTTCTCATGGCTCTGGAAGAGGAGTATAGATGTGCTAAGTTGCTGTGTCTTGGTTGAGTAATTTTTGAGACTAACTTTTAGAAATCTCTTGGTATGATGACTTGATATGAGAGCTTACCCTTTAAAACCTCAGTAGAAGTTAAAATAGACGCGTTGTAACTACATAGTTACTACTCATTTGTTCTGTCACTGCTGTCGTGATTTTGACTCTTGGAAGTTTGTCACATCCCTCTAAACAGCAAGTTATGAGACCAGAATACGTCTAAAATAATTCAGATAATAAATGAAAATGCATTGTGAAAAATCAGATCTTAATAACGTATGGAAAGGATATTGGAGAAAACTGTCATATTAATACTAAATACTTGCTACTTTCATTTAAAAATACTTTTTAAAAAGCTCTTTGGAAGTGATGTGTCTCTCTGGTAGTCCTGGTGGTAGCTTAGAAAATTTTACCATGTAATGACCAGGATTAGTTAGAATGTAAAGGAGGAGTCATCTTATCAACATTACAATTGTATTTGGATCCTAGAGCTAGGTTTTCATAACTTTAGTTAGACAGTTAGAAAATGCTTGGGTCTTTCTGTGCTTGTTTAGCTGGAGACAGGGATTGAAATTTTTTTGTTGGCTTGTTTTGCCAAGGTGAAAAACCTTCCTAATGGAAGGTACAAGTTGATTCTTCAATTTATTTGAATGCTGTAAAGAAAGATGTAACTACTAAAGGGCTTAGGATTTTCAGAGTACTGTACATATACAACAAATTACAGGCATATTAAAAATGTGTGTCATCCTGCCCTCATACCTGCAGCTCTCCTAAATTCTTCTTCTTGGAGTGAGCACTGGGGAAGTTACTGTAAGTTGTGTGCTTCTCTGAAAGCATCTTCTTCATTCTGGGAAACTTACAAAACTGGTAGAAAAATGAGAAGTGGAACATCATTTCATTAACACTGAATTCTGATGTACGCTTTAACAGTCCCTGTTTGGGGTCACCTGTGCATTAACTTCAGTCTAGAGCAGTCACTATGGAAGAGACTACAGAAGTCACTGGCTAAATATTATGTCAGAGCAAGCCAGTAGAGGAATGTTGGGGTTTCTCAGTTCTCTTTCTAGCCCTCGGATGGGATATCTGCTGCTGGTGGTTAGATGCTGCCGCCAACTCTGTGGATTTGATAGTTGATGTGACTTGCTGCATTACAGACCTGAAGACTTTTTGCAATTCTGACAGAGGTCATCTGCAGTCTGTTGTTCTAATTTTAAAACAGGATGCAGGAAAACCTGTCATCGTGCAAGGTAGGAGAGAGCTGTCCCTATATTCCAAAAACTTAAATATTGAGAGACATTGAACACTACAGTTTATAGAGAACACCTGCATACGTAGGTGCGAGGTCTTACGCTTATTTTGAACTGGCCAAAGGCAGCCTAGCTCCAGCGTTTTTAAGATATTCTGTTAATATTAGTACTTTGGCAGTACCTGGTTTATATTCCAAAATATGGTCATACAAGTTATCAGAGTTTTCATAAACTGTCATGTATTAAGTAATTAATATTTTTCCTGAGGCTTGTATTAGATTTTTTAAAAAATTCAGTGCTCATTAGAAAAACATTCTTTAATACCATTTGTCTGGTAAGGCAAATTCTTGAGTAACACAGAAAATTTCATTATAAATTATACAATATTAAAGAAATAAGAAAAAATGTGGAATTGCAAGCAGTTGTATCTAGTGAAAGTTGGCATGACCTTTTGTCACTTAATATATTCTACTTGAAACAAATTCTTAATCTTATCTGTTACAGTTTTAATGGATTCCACCAAAAAGTTGAGTGAAATAATTTTTAAAGGGTAGCTAAGAAAATGCTTTAAAATACTCTATCAAGTTGTCAGTAACTCCTGAATATATTATTTACAACTGAAATTTTAAATTACTGTTGTCCATGATGGCTGTGTGCAATAAAGGAAGAACTTCAAATATTTCAGCAATTTTCCAGTGTATAATAGCATGCCGTAACAGTTACCTTGCACATTTCTACGTAAATAAAAGCTAATCTTCACACACAACTTGAAGCCTGTTATTGTTTTGTGCATTACTGAGATGTTTCAGCAAAGACCTTGGCTTTCATAGAATAATTACTCACAGGAAGGTTTGTAGAGTTGTGTATTTGTGTAGACCATGAAAAAGTGGAGACATAACAAACTATTTAAAACTAGATAGAGAACACTGGAATTTTTAAAACGGAGAGAAGTTTGTGTTCTGCTTTGCAGCTGTTTTGCCTTATGTGTGGTTTTGTTTCTGATCTGCGTTTTCCTTAGCAACTTTGTTCATAGTCTTAAAGTCATCTCTTTGTGGGCACAGTTCATCACAAAGGAGGCTTTCTGTATGCTTCTGCATACAGCTTACCATCCTCCTCTTTCTGAGATCCTATGTAAAGCCTTACTGCTATTGCCATGCTCGCAAAAAATTGTTACCTATTAGTAGGTATATGTCTAGATCCCTGTTGAAAGCCTGTAAAAAGAATTGGCTATTTCAGAGTTGGAGTTCCTGTTTCCAAAATGAAACTAGCTACTAATATAAAGCATTAATAAGTTCTCAAGTTAGCATGATAGAATATTCTTTTTTTTCTCTCTCTTTTTTCTGTTTGTTTTTTGTTTTTTTCCTGCTTGCAGAGGTTGAAAGCAGCCTTGACCCAGCAGCACCCTCAGGTAACAAATGGAGATACTGCCAAGGGCCATCCAAGTGGGTTGGTTAGGACTCAGTCAGAGGAGCCACGACCACAGTCACTACAACAACCTGCAACTTCAACAACTGAAACACCGGTATGGCAACAGAGTGAACTTCTGCCCCTTCATTGTTAAGCAAAACCCCCTTTTTTTCTTTACTTTTGTTTTGTAAAATAGAGGTTAACATGAGCTACAGACTCCTCTTGGAGTCAGTAGTTCAGTAGTCAATTTTCAAGATTTAAACCTCGATGTTTGGTTATTTTGTGGTTACTTTATAATTAGGATTTATTTTAAAAAATAAGTAAATCCTAACACACACACACACAACAAAGCCCTGCCAGTGTTTCATTTCTAAAAAGCTGATTTGAGTTCCCAGGTATTTTTTTCTACTATTAACTATCAATTTATACCAAATCTGTATGCCAACTGATACGTGTTTGCAGTTTTTAACTTAAAATAAAACTTTCTTACTGTGCTAGACTGCATGTGCAGGTGCACTGGTGAATGTGTCATGGAGACAGTTGTATTCTGTCTGTCCTACCACTTGAAAGGATGTTGAGATCATTATATTGTCATTATAATTCATTAGATCTTTGCCTAGGGTCTGTCTACAGCTGTGGAAGGAGTATAATGTATAACTTTAAATACTGACATGTTTTGATCCTGTCATCATATGTGGGTGGATATAACAGAAGTTGGTACGCAGTGGTGGGGAACCCATCAACAAGTCAGAAATCGTTACCTGGAGATTCAGGAATCAGTGACTCGGCACTGACTGCATTTGTCAAAATGTTTTCTATATTGGGCATAAACAGTTGTGTAACGGTACAGTTGTGACTAGGTTTGTGGAAAGGGTCAGAAGTAGAAAATTTATTTCCTGCTAAATGTAACTTTAAAAAAGCCATTTGGGGTAAAAGTTTTTTGAAGTTTGTTTTGTAAATACTTGTGCCATCAGAACTGTTAGTGTCTGAGAGACTATCTAAAGAAGTAGTGCTTCCAGGCTTGATTCAGTTGCCAAGTGTAAATGTAATATAATTTCAACTCTTTGAAGCGAGTCACTTCTTTTAGTGCAATTTTAAAGCAAAGCTAGAGCCGTGATTAAAACGTTACACGTTAATGCAACGTGCTAAGAAGTGTAAATACAGTAAAAGATTTTAAAACATAGCTGTGGAGTTAAATGACGTAGCTTTCCACAAAAGAGATGCGTGTAACCCAGGTGTATTTAGAAATGTTGTGAATGCTCTTCTCAAGACGTATTTATACCTGTACTGTAGCTTCACTCATGAATAATTTTATACTGATAACTTTAATACTTCTTACTGTTTTCAGGCATCACCAGCTCAGCCTACGCCACAAACACCAAATACAGGTGGTCGTCGAAGAAGAGCTGCCAATGAAGACCCTGACGAGAAAAGAAGAAAGTTCCTGGAGAGAAACCGGGCTGCTGCTTCCAGATGCCGACAGAAACGGAAAGTCTGGGTGCAGTCGTTGGAGAAAAAAGCTGAGGACCTGAGCTCGCTAAATGGCCAGTTACAGGTATCCTTTTTATTTCGAGTAAAAATATGTAAGTTTTTCAATTGTTAGGCAGTGATCCTGGATCAATGGAACTTAAACTTTGCGTGAAATCTGAAATGTAGATGGTTTTATAACTGGTGGCTCAGGTCAGAATTGAAAATTCAGCTTTAATTGCATATAGCAGTAAAATAAGAGAATACTCAGATTTCAAGATGTGTAAATTTTAGGATCACGCCCTTTTGTCCTTTGTTCCATTTTAAATAACTTTCAGACTGTGATACTAAACAAGGGGGACAAGATGTGTTGGAGTAAAGGCTTATTAGCAAAGTAGCACCCTTACCTTAAAACATCTTGCTCTTAATTTGTATCACAGCCTGAGTTATTTAAATAAGATTTGGTTTGATTTCCTTTGGTTCTTTTTAACTTCACTTTTTTTCCTTTAAAGTGAATGTAGTGCTCGTGAAAGGTGCCAGATTGACATCACTGGAAACTGAAGGCCTCTTTTGTCCACAGAACAGGTACAGCACAGGCAGTGGCAGTGCAAATTTCACCACGCTGCCCTCCCAGTGTGCATAAATCCTATAGTAAGGGAAGTATACTGTAAGAGGGTAGTCTAGCCTGTATTGCCGATCATTTTTCCACCTCATCTGAGGTCGCCAGTTGTTGTAAAGTTGTCATGTGGACGCACTTTTACCCCTGTAGAACAATCCGTGACCCTTTTGTTTAAACTACTGTTAAATGTTCAAGCATAGTTTCTTAATGTTTTCCAGCAGCATATGAGAAATGGCACAACGTATTTTTTTAAAACAAAGTCTGAAAGCTTTATTTTGAGAATTACAGAAAGGAAAAATTATGTCATTTCCTAAATGAAGCATTCATTTAGAAAATGCAGTGGGAAGTATTTTGATATTAAAGTTATGCTGCTTGTTCTTTCCTCAGAGCTGTTCCACTGAGTCAGACTCACAGATCTTTTCCTTCTTATTAAAACTTCTCTTTCACACTGTTTGGTATAGAAAATGCCCTACTTTGCCCAATAGGGAAGTGGGGCATGTTGAGATTACTTTTTAATCGTGTAATCGAAATGACAGCATCGGTCATCTTCAGTTTCATGTCTTTAAAAGTATTCAGCATCCCAGCCTGTAAAATGTTAAAAAATAATACCCAAGTGCACAATGTGAAATTGTTTCCTGCGTTCCAAGAATCATGACATTATGCACCAGCATTAGGTAAATTCCTTGCAAAGATACAGTCTTCTCATACCTGTTCTCAATCTGTAGATGTGTTCCTTTAATGCAGTCACAGTCGTCGCTGTAAATCAATTAATTACAAAATGTTATGTAGCACCATAGCGTAAATAATCTGAGAAACAAGTGAAGATAGATCTATAGGAAGAAAAGCAAATAATATTTCAGTTTTCTTAGTGAAAGTAACTTTTGGTATTATGTGAGCTGCCTTTAACTTACACATACCAATTGTTATAACCAAAAAGGGTCTAAGTACCATAACCAAAATATTTCCAGATTTCCAAGAGTTAACTCAGTAATGGTGAATTCAAGAAAAAATTTTCATACAGTCTGCCAAACCCCAAACCGTTAACTGTGAAGAACAGAATGACTTGTAAAGAAAATTGAATGTCAGAGAAAGAATTAAACTGTGCTTTATGTGAAAACATTAATCAATCCTATGTTTCCATAATAATTCTTCACTTGACAGGCTAACACAGCTGATCAGCACACTGGGCAGTAATGACCCATGATTACTTACTTTATATTTAACAGTACATTTAATAAGTTTAGAGTTTTTCTTAGTACAGTTTTATAGACTGAGAGTTAGGGTTTAGTGGTTCATATTTTGTTTAATATCGAAATGAGCTGCTCGGCTGAATTTACTGAGATGTCACGTTTCCAAAAGTAGGTTAATACCAAAATGACTGCATTGCGTTACTTCACGTAACAATTCTGATTCCTTTCAACACAGCAAAGTAGCTTTCTTGTAATGTCTGTGTCAAAGCTTCTAACGTAAAGCTCAGTATTTCCACGGCTGGAAGCTCTATAACAGTACGTACAGATTTTGAAGAGTTTTACTTGGTTGATGTATATATTTTATTCTGTAGTTTTCTGCTTTCTGTAGATTAACTTCTTCCCACTTTCTTCTTTTAAACGTTTGAATGTATTTTCCTTTTTAAGCATTATTTTTCAGATTTTTGCTTAAGGGAAAATTTCCATTAGTTGCATCACACCAGTAACACGTTTAGGTTAGGTTGGCTGTCTTTACTACAGGCTTTGCTATGAAAGTTTTTTTTCATGCGTCCAACCTTTTAAAGTTTATTTACTGTTTGCTATTAGTGGACTGTATTTTGTACTAATGTGTTGTCTTCTTTATTTACCTTAAATTTTATATACCACATTGTGTTGCCTCTGCGTCTTGCACAATACAGGAGGGTGTGGTGTGCTGTATAACATATTAAGGAAGTATTGACGGTGTGTCCCCAGTGGCCATTTAATCCTATTGCAGAATCAGATGCTGAAATTCACTGTACTGTCTGTATTTGGTCTCTGTTGCTTAATAACTTTAGAGGCAAAGTATTGGTATAAGAATGGCCTGTCTTCCTTGTGAGGTCATTGTAAGTTTTAAAGGATCAGCAATGAAGTGGTGGTTTGTACTACTGCTGCAGAAGCTGCTGTAGGAAGGCTAAATTATGAAAGAAATGCCCATCAGTAAAGGTCCTTTCCCGTACAAGGGTATCTTGTTGAAGTTGCCCAAAAAGAAACTGGAACCATGAGCCAGCACTGTGCCCTTGTGGCCAAGAAGGCCAATGCCATCCTGGGGTGTATCAGGAGGGGGGTGGTTGTAGGGCAGAGAGGTTCTCCTCCCCCTCTACTCTGCCCTGGTGAGACCCCATCTGGAATATTGTGTCCAGTTCTGGGCCCCTCAGTTCAAGGACAGGAACTGCTGGAGAGAGTCCAGCGTAGGGCTACAAAGATGATCAAGGGAGTGGAGCATCTCCCTTATGTGGAAAGGCTGAGGGAGCTGGGTCTCTTTAGTTTGCAGAAGAGGAGACTGAGGGGAGACCTCAGTCATGTTTATAAATATTTAAAGGGTGAGTGTCACGAGGATGGAGCCAGGCTCTTCTCGGTGACAAACAATGATAGGACAAGGGGTAACGGACACAAGCTGGAACACAGGAGGTTCCACTGAAATTGGAGAAGAAACTTCTCAGTGAGGGTGACAGAGCCCTGGACCAGGCTGCCCAGAGAGGTTGTGGAGTCTCCTTCTCTGCAGACATTCAAAACCCGCCTGGACGCCTTCCTGTGTAACCTCATCTGGGTGTTCCTGCTCCGGCAGGGGGATTGGACTGGATGAGCTTTTGAGGTCCCTTCCAATCCCTAACGTTCTGGGATTGTGGGAAGAGCTCCAGCCAGTCCTCTATCCCCGTAAGTCACATCTACCTGTCTGTAATGATAGTTTTGGTAAATACACCTGACAAATATTATCCCATGCTTTGCTGAGTGAGGATTAATCTGGTCCCACTCTTACATACATATTTTGGATCCAGGGAACAATAGGCAGATATATAAGAACATATTGTACCCTGTGTGGTATGCCTTGTAAGAATACAGAAGTAAAAGTATCTTTTGAAAAATGGAGTGCAGGTCAAAGTACATATGCCTTCCTCCAGAAATCTTTCTCACGTTAGCACATTTTTAAATGTTGGAATGTAAAAATTCCTCTAGACAGCATGTGAGGTATATTTCATGCTTATTTAAAGAAATGTTGATGCCTACGCTTGACTTGATATCTCATTCATTAGGAGAATGTTTCCAGTGCAAAACCTCGCAATGATCTTTCTTCATGCCAACTGTTGGAGTTTTTATTCTGTATTTCTTGTTAGCCCATTTTCAACATGTTAACCACGCGTTAAATGATCACACGTTAACGTGTTTTGGATGAGATGGATGAGAACGATGAGGAACTACAGTGGATATAGGGGTTGGTTCTAACAATTCCCCTTTATTACCCAGCAGACATGGTTCTTGCTGTCTCGTGTAAGTGACAACCATGGACTGCCCTTCAGCGACATTCCACACACCATGTGTCTAGCAGACATTCTCTGTTCTACTTTCAGAAATTTCTTGTCCAGTGCATATAGCACTGCTGGCTCACAGTGTTTGTGTTAACTGTGTATGTGCTAGCTGTGTATTCAATGAGACCACCTCAACTTTTTTTTTAATATAGAAATGCTGTTCTTTTTTTTCAAATCTGCTTGAAAGTAAGAGGTTTGCCTTTTCTACTTCTGTTAGCAAGATTCTCAGTATTTGTAATACAGAATCCCAGAACGTTAGGGATTGGAAGGGACCTCCAAAGCTCATCCAGTCCAATCCCCCTGCCGGAGCAGGAACACCCAGATGAGGTTACACAGGAAGGCGTCCAGGCGGGTTTTGAATGTCTGCAGAGAAGGAGACTCCACAACCTCTCTGGGCAGCCTGGGCCAGGGCTCTGTCACCCTCACTGAGAAGAAGTTTCTTCTCCAATTGAAGTGGAACCTCCTGTGTTCCAGTTTGCGTCCGTTACAATTGACATTAATCTATAAACTGCCTTTGCAAAAATTTTTCATAAACATTTGTTTTACTTACACTGTTAAACAGTGACTTCACTCTTCTGTGTGCTGTTTGTGAATAAATTTTTTCCTTAAAATGTGGGAGATGAAGGTAGACAATTCCTGAAAACCTTTTCAGGATTTAATCACTTACTCCGCCATCATTCCTCTAAATTAATAGAGGTATTTTTCATGTTCTTGGACATTGCTGCTTCTGTAGGTTAGCAAGAAGGGTCTCAAAACTACGTCAGCACTTTTGATTTTTTTTCCCCAGTTATGTCAGTTCTGTGCAGCTGCCTGCTTGGCATCCAGGTTTGTGACTTCTCAGTAAATAATGTGGTCAACTTAGAGGAGACCGAGTGCTGGAGGCAGTAGTGTGCTTTCTGAACAGCCCAAGGTTTCAGAACGTGTAATACCAGCTCATAGTGATTTTTGTGGCATTTTTCATTGGGCTTTCTTCATTGCAGCCTTTTTTGTTTTCTTTCATTAGAAATGACTGCGAAGGCAGATTTTTGTTTCTTTCAGCTCTTGCTTTTGTTTGAAATATGAAGTTTCTAAAAGGCATATTTGACACCATAAAATACCTGAACAGAAAAGTAGCTGTTAATAGTTCAAGAGGATTTTGGTAGTAAAAAGGCTTGATATTTTTTGTCTCCTAAATGGAGAGGACACGACACAAAAATGAACTTTTCTTTAAGGAATCTGGTATTTTAGTTTACATTATTTATAATCTGTCTTAGTGTACTTAAAACTAATAAATTCTGTTCATAAAAATTGTTTTCCTTCCTTTGGAATCCTTTGAGTTGTTGTAATTCACCTCTTCTCCGACTGCATTGCCTTCTTTCTAGCTTGCAAGTAAATAGGTTGACTTTCTCTGGGTTTTTTTTCCCCCAGATATTTTTAGTTGCAATCCAATTCTCCTATGTTTGATTTTTTTTCTTTAACTTGCCCCCAGATTTATGAACACTTGCATTTACCAAACAGTTATGTCGTGTGTGGTATATTAAGCTAATGTGTAAGGGTTCTTGCAGTTAAGGTAACTTCAAGTATCAAAGGATTTATATTTCAAATAAAATAACTCATGAAAAGCATATATTGTGACAAGGTATGGGGATCACAAAGCATTGCAGATAACTTGATTCTGTAGATACATAAACATTTTTCTACTATTTAAAGTGAAAATGGGCCTATCAAAATGCCATACCATTCTTAATGTGGACTGTCACGTATAACGCGGTTATGTATTGCTTCTCATCTCTAGATATCAAACTGCTTTACAGGGAAGGTAAGTGTCGCTGTCCTCCACTTTACAAATGGGGAAATTGAAGCACAAAATAGTAAAATGACCTTACTCAAGGTCACCCAATAATGGAAAGGCACAGCCTGGAAATGAACCCAGTCACTGGATTCTGCAAGTGCTGTCTCCTAGGTTACACTCGGCTTTATTGACATAAACGGACGTTTCAGGGTTTTGCCATTATTATCAATGATTCCTTCGTACCCTGTGTTTATCTATTGTTGCCAGAAATAAAATTTAATACGGAAATCAACAAAAAATGTGTAAGCTATTTTCCAGTATGTGAGGTTTTCTTTTTTGAACTCCAAGTACAAATATAGTCACCAAAAACCATTCTGCGTTGGCTGATTTTTTAAATTATTTTTTTTTTTATATTGGCTGCGGCATCCGTTAAAATGTGGGTGGTTAAATGTAGGTTTACTCTGAGTAGAATTCATCACAAACCTTGCAGAAGAGTCTTAGAGTAGCTGGATCATGGGAATGAGACTCTGTGTAGACTCTGCATCTGCAAACTGAAAAACCTATGTTGTATTTTGCAAAAATGCATTTCCTAGTTAAAGAAAACCATAAAATAAAGTTAGCCAAGTTTCACCTAATCTTTACATACTCTGAGAGAAAAGGAATGTATGCATTTTTGTAATATATATGAAATGGAAACTTCTTGTATTATTTCTACCTCTAAATGAACAACTGATAATCCTATAAAACTTAATACTTACCTGCAAAATGTGTGTAGTTTTGAGCCTGGTAAAGTACATAACTTTCTTCTCCTTTAGAATGAAGTCACCCTGCTGAGAAACGAAGTGGCACAGCTGAAACAGCTTCTTCTGGCTCATAAAGATTGCCCTGTAACCGCCATGCAGAAGAAATCTGGCTATCATAGTGAGTAATGTTCCATTACCTATAGCCCTAGGCTGCATCAATGAAATACTGCCAGAGTGAGCTGAATGAACATTAAAATTGAGAAGTGCAGTTCTAATATTGCATTAAAGATTTTTTTAAAAAATCTTGAAGGTTATTGGAAGACAGCAATGAATATGTGATACATGGAGATATATTTTTAAGTCCTTTCACTTGAAGCGTTGCGTAACGTTGAAGGTTTTATGTTGGTTTAATAAATGCATATGATGATTAGCGTTTAAGGACTACCAGTTACTACACCTGCTTTGGAAAATATAATTAAAGTATTAAGAGCACATGATAAACCATTTTTTATACTTTATCTTAGCCTAGTACAGAGAAAGGTCCTTGTGGGTTTTTTTTCTTCATCGTAATGAGATTTCAGTGGAGGTAATATAACAGCTGTCCTCATTTACCATAACATCCAGGATCAGTCAAGCCATTAAAATAATCAGATGCAGGTTCATGGCTTCTACTGTACAATGTCTTCTAGATTGTTTTGATTTCCACATTATTCCTTTTCTATAAACAAGGTATTTTAAAAACCAGTTCTAATACTGAAGGGAATACTGAGAGTTTCAGTAGCATTTTTTTTTCCTAATACATATTTTGACTTAAAGGTGCTCGTTTGATTTTCATCCTTCCAGCATTTTAGAGGTTAATTATGCTTTCCTGACTTGTAACTTCAGTTTTGGGTATGCTACGCAGTGCCAGAACCAGCTGCTGCTACTGCAGAATAAATGGCCAATTTTGTCCATTGTACACAAATTTGTTACAAATAACTGAGCTGGGAATGCATTAGGCAACATTCATAATATATAACCCACAGCTTTCGTTTTTATGATTTAGTGATATTTCAGGATATTTGTAAATGTGAAGATTGTTTCTGCCATATGTAGCCACTTCATTTTAATTTGCCAGTGTCAGTAATTCAGGAGAATAAAGGAACATTTTGTATTGCATGCAAACAGATCCTCAGGTGCTTGCGATAAAACTTAATGGCCACCATCTTTACTTGTAGTCATTGTGAGCAATTTCATCAGAACGGGCAATATTTTTTAATTTAAAAGATTCAGGAGCTTTAGAAACTCTCTGTTGCCGTATATATTTAGAATACTGATTTTGTCAGTTTTGAGCTTATAAATTTTGGTCCTTTGATCTCCAGTCATTTTGACAAGACGAGAAGTAGCATCTTGGAGTAAATTGGAACAGTATAGAAATATGTTTGGGATTTATATTGACAATGATTGCTGCAGGGATGAGGCCATTATGGCTCCCATCTGACAGAAAACATAATTTCATACGGAAGCTACTAGAGGATAACATTATGCATGCAAGGTTTAAAAAAAAAAAAAGCCCAGAAAACTGTGTGTTTCTTGAATTTTGATGTCTTGAGGATGCATGTTCCTGAACTGACATGAAAAATATTTAAACATAAGCCCTGAACTAGCAAACTAATGACATGCTAAGGATTTCTCTGCTAAAGAATTAATGAACGGCCTGCTTAGTAATCCTTATTTTTTGCCCTCGGAGAAGGACTGTAATGTTCCTAATTTACTAAAGAGTGCAAAATTAATAAGGACTAAAATACTAATCAGTGGAAAAAACCTACATTTTAGGGGGAAAAAAAATAGTAAGCAAGGAGATTGGAAGCATAGCTCACCTAGTTCCTTGAAAAGTCTCTTGAAAGTCAAAGTTCAACATGACTGGTATTTGTAATGCCACCCCTTGGAAAGGATTTTGTCGTGTTCCCTCCTTGAATGAATATTGTTAGGAAAGCATATTGGCTAGGTTACTTAAAGGCAGTACAATTTATGAGAAGAAAAAACCGTGTCAGTTAATACGTTCATGAAAGGGGGTATTCATAGAAAGTATTTTTAAATAAACATATTATGTTCATTAGTGATCTAAGTCGAATTGCTTCGAAAATGCATCGAAAGGTTTCACAGTCCGTCTCTGTGGAAGAAATTGAAGACACCAGATTACAGAGCTCCTGCAGTGCTGAATATTGTGCACTGCTGAGACAGTGCTAGTTTATACCATGCAGACTGTGTTTTAACAGCTAAGCCCACAATTTAATGGGTTTTCATGTATGATGCACTTAAATAGGCACAAATGATCTATTGCTTTTCAGGGTGTTTTTGGCACCTACTTACACATTTTTACGATCTTTTGGATTTCCCAGGCACGTTTTTGTCTCTGGCCAAGTGTAAAGTACAACAATGCACATACCCCTTTCTTCTTCTCAGATTGTTCTTGGGATCGTATTTTCTTTATTTAAAAAATCTTGTGTCTTATTCAAACAGAGGTGTTACCAAGACAGAGTAACCAGAAAAATGGTTATTGCACTTTGAGGCAGGATGGATGAATTCCTGTTGCAACGTTTGAATTTTCAGCCATTTAATATTTTTATATTTACCAACGAAGTATGCTGCTGGTTCTGAATGCATCTCTGAATGCTGGGGGGTCAGGGAGGTGGGAAATGTGCAGTGTACAGGAGAAATCAAAATGCTGTTCATTTATTCTTCATTTTAGCTCTTCTGTACCAGATTATTTCTAGAAGCCTTCTGTAATACTCATATAAATTTTCTCAGTCTTTTTCTGGTCTTGGAGCAGGAAAAAGGTGAAAACTTGAAGAAAAATTGTGAAAATTCGAGTTTAAAAAAAAAAAAGGTGGTTTAAAAAAGGTGGTTAAAAAAAAGGTTTAAAAAAGGTGGTAAAAGGGGTGGTTTAGATGTTTTTCAAAAAGACAACGTGATATTCAAGAATATTTGTACAAAAATAAATACAAAGGAAGATAAATAGAGTCTGTAATATAGGTGGTATTAAATGTGATTTTTTTGGTGTTCTTTCTCTAGTTGATTTTAAAGAAATGGTAGAAGGTGGCTAACCAGTTTCAGACCTTAAACAATGGGAACCACTCAAACCCTTATGTTCCTACAGCCTGCTCTGGACAGGTGACAGCCCTTCAGTGACCACAAGGGTCAGTCACAACGGCCAACTCCCTGGAAATGAGCGTTTCTAGCCTGAGTCCCTCTATAGCCCGTGGATGCCCTGATGAGAATTGCCATGAGGCTCCTTTCTGATTATCAGGGGACCAAAGGGAGCCCTGGATCTCGTGGCAGTTCTTGCATTCTCACTCCTGTTTTGGTCAGTATTGTCCTGCTGTGGACTGAGATCCCTCTTTGTTTGCTTACCTTACTGAAAGCTATTGGTAAGCAATGCTGAGAAGCAAATAGCAGCAATATTTGGCTATGGTAAAAAGGTATTTTTAGTACATCCTCAAAAGCCTCCTCTGTGCTTTGGTATTTTAAAAATCTTTTCTATAGCTCAGTCTAGCCCGTGTTGTGTTCATCGCCAAAATGGCTCACTCATGACGCAGCCTGCCTAGGATCTATGTAGCCTTCAGGAAAGTTCACGTGATGTAGATCAGTAAATTCTCAACCTTCTAATGTACAGCATATGTTCCTTCTGTAGATTCATTTCTCATTTTCCTTGGTTTGAGGCAAAGCTGGGAAAGCCATTAAAAAGTTAAAACACCTAGGCTTTTTCCTACAGTGTTAGCTACATTATGATTTTGCTGTGTGCCAGTTACACTCCTCAAACTCCAGTCCTGTTCCTGGCAATTTTCTGGTCCTCTTTGAAAAAAATAAACACATCTTTCAGAATTTAAATGTGTTCTTCTAAAAGCCTCTGCTCTTTATTCCCAGTCTTCAGGCTTAAGAAAACAAGTCAGTGAGATGACTTTAAGTCTCTTCTGTATTCACTGAGTAGATTTCAAATGTCAAACTTTATTCAGTTTTTGGCCGCTACTCCTGTAACGTTAAGGCCACGTAAGAAAGGATATTGAAGGAAATCTAAACAGCTCTTCTTCAGGGTGGCACCTAACTGCTCAATATTACTTCATAGTCATTGCAAGGATTTGTGCTTCTAGTCAAATTTATGACCATAAACTGATGTTAGGTCTGTGTCTTATAATCACCTGTCTGCTGTAACCTTCTGCTTCCCTCTAGCCCCTGGCATCTGGAAACACCTGAATCATGTGCTTTTGTCTGTTAAGCACATTGTTTGTTCATCTGCTCAAGGATACAAAACTTCTGTTGCACGCTGGTGATGATAATTGTTCTCGTAAGTGTTTCTTCCATTGCGAATATGGTCTTCCCAAGCCCGTCAGTGTCAGAAAACCAAGCCTTTCTCCTGTTCTTTACCGCTGTGTTATTAGCACAGACATTGCTTCAGAGTGAACAACATGTACGTTAAGGGATACGAAACAATGGAAGACCTTCCTTCTCTGGCTGGAAGATAATCACCTACTTACTTCCTCTCTGTCTCTGGCTTGTAGCATTTAAAACTAACCATTTTTCTAGAGGATAGAGAGGACTTGGCCAACGAGGACATTGGGGATCAGCAAAAGGAGCATAATAGGAAGATTAAGATCCATAGGAGAGTAACAGCTCTGAGGAGGAGGAGCAGGTGTTACAGCATGGAGATGGCACTCAATCCACATCATCCTTCTTGCTGCCATTTCATCTGTCTGAGGGGAGGAGTAGTGTTATTAGTCTCATAGTTAGTAATTAGTAAGTATAGATTTTTTTTTTTAACAAACTTTGCATATGTTCCTTCCTTGTTTTCACACAAGACCTTGTAGGTCTTGACAGAGGTGTAGCAAAGATAAAATACTGTTGACTGGTGTTAACTGAGTTGGCACTTGTTCATGTCCTTTCTGTTCCTGAATGGGTGAATCCCACTAAGGATCACAAGCATCTTTCAGAAGTATTTTAGTTTTCTTCCTCTTGCTGTACACAGTTACCATGTAGCCCTAGCATATGTGGTAATTGTCAGCATACCTCGGCCAATACCATCTGTCTCCGTCTCCTTTAATGCTTGAAAGATCCTTTATTGAAAAAAAAATGTAGTATCTGTAAAATAGTTGGCCTTGTGGATAAGAACACTATGATACTTTCAAACAATTATGACCATGTTCTTGTAGAGATATAAGAGAAATGGTTGCTTTGCTCTCATAGGCAGTATTTCTTAGAAATTCAGCAGTTTTACTTGTTTACCCATAACTTTTGACCTTACTGTTCTTTTCTAGAAACTGTCGATAGTGGAACTATTTTCAGGCTCTTCAGAGGAGTGTGTTCTTAGTATGCATGGGGTAGCTTCAAAGATCTTTTATGTTGGAGACTTGACTTGCTAATTTAGTGGATTTTCTTACCCGTAGCTAGTACGTCATGTACATCTCAGTAGATCATAAGCTTCATTTCATCATTGCTCGTTCATGCTTAATACTCCATTTAGTTGCTGCTCTTAGCCTGGTTTTCTGTGGAAATGAGCCTATGATAATCACAGTCCTTTAGTGTCAGTGCCATCCCTTCCCATTCCTTCTCTTCCCCTGGGTAACTTTTGCAACTGTAGGCCAGTCTCAAGCAAATGTGAAAGGGATTGCAAAGGCAAGGCTAGAGAAAATCAGACTTTGTTCCATTGCTATGTCACAAGCAGTAGTTCATGCCGCTTCTGGCTATTTGTGTGTGTCTTTCTGTATTGTTATGTTTTACAATAGGCAGTAGTGTTTTAAAAGGAACTTCCAGTGTTCCATGTGCATGCTGGGTTTAAGTCAGTGTATAAAACTTTTGTGGGAAAAATACTTGAAAATACTGAGTAGCACAGAGCAGTAGGAAAAATGTGGTGTTCATGCTTTAATTTTGAGTAGGCTTATTTGCCTTTTTGGTTTGTTTTTTGGTCTTTAACTCAGCCTTTCACGTGACAGTGTTTCCGTAATGCCTTGGCTAACTTTTGCAACTCTGGAAAAAAAGAATGATTTCAGCATGACGAGGATGTCTGAGCAAGAAAGACATTCTAGATCATGCTCATTTTGTAAATTAAAGTTTTGCACAATGAGAATTATTATTCTTTAATCTGTTTGCCGTCTGTATTTTTTGTTTACAAAGTAGTATTTTCTTCAAAACATGAAAACAAGCTTGTTTTGCAATCTGTGCTGTGTTAAACTGACTTTTAATTATTTAGGGGATGATTGCTGTTACCTGGGACGTGATGGTGTGCGTTCTGGGGAGAAAATAAATGAATGCTTTTTCTTCAGCTGCAGATAAAGATGACAGTTCAGAGGACATATCAGTGCCAAGCAGTCCACACACGGAGGCCATCCAGCACAGTTCTGTCAGCACATCCAACGGTGTAAGCTCCACCTCCAAGGCAGAAGCGGTGGCCACCTCAGTTCTGACCCAGATGGCAGACCAGAGCACAGAGCCTGTGCTTTCCCAGATCGTCATGGCGCCTCCCTCCCAGTCCCAGCCTTCAGGAAGTTGATTAAAAACTTGCGTTGCATCCGTTTTAGATACACATTTGTGACTTTAAAGGGAAATCGACAACAGACCAGTCTCCATCTAGGAGAAATTGTAGCTTAAAATTATTCATTTTTAAAAATCCAACTTAAATTTGGCTTTAATGATTGGCAGGTAAAGATGAGACAGAACACCAGTTCTAGTTTCTCTGCAAAAGACTTCTTTCTTTTTAAGTATTAGTTTTACTAGTTATTTTTTTTTTTGTGCTTAATGTGTAAAGTGTGTGTACAGTACAATGTGGTTTATTTCATTTTTAATTTGGTATGATTTCAGCAAACATTGGGGTGAATTACTAAAGGTCATCCCCAAGACTGTGATAGTAATATTATGTGACATTTTTATACCAAAGTTCTGCATAGTCCCTATTGACTTTGTAACATTAGCAAGGTCATAAAGCACTAGGCAAGAGAAAGACAGTAACAGTCAATTTGCTTTTAGTCTTTTTGCCTTTTTGTTGTTTTGCACATAATGAGAGGAAGAACATTGGGAGGAAAACGTTTGGGTTGTTTTATGTATTGCATTTTGGTTGGCTTTTTAACTGTTGGGGTTTTTAATTTGTTCAATAGGGCCAGTACAGTATATGAGATACAGTACTCTTATGCACATACCTATCCAGATGAGGATCAGTACTAAAGAGATTTGACTTTTTTTTAATTTCCAATTGATGTCAGGTGGTTTTTTTCCCTCCCTCCAATACTTCCATTCTGGGGGGAGGAGAGCTTTATTTCTCCAGTCAGAATAGGTGTCTATAACTACCCTTTGTTGCTAGGCTGAAACCAGTAAGCATATTGTAAAATACAGGGTTATCAAATATGGAATACTTAGTATTCCAAAGTAGGTGGATATTTTGTGGATTTTTGAGTCACAGACTAAGGAGTTTACCATGGTTTTTGGATGCCAGAAAAGCCTAAAATCCTTCTTCAGACAACTCAAGACTTTTTTTTGTCATTGTCTTGTATTTGCAAGCTAACTTGTACTTAACTCTTGTGTAAGCACTGTCATCTTTTAGTAGCAAAAATTTTGATACCTTTCTTGTGGAAAAAAAAAAATAATAATCAGTATCTACCGTATCTTGGAAACAATGTAATTATAATGTGGTGTGTGTGGTGTGTGCGTGAGAATGGTTCAGTAGTTAATGCCAGCAGTCTTTTGCTTGAATGTTTAAAGATGCCTTCAATGTGATGCTGGCTGATAGGTGATTGCAGTTTTAAAATGTTATTTACTGTGCGAACTTGGATAACTAACATTCCATGATGTAGTTTGTTTCTGATGAGATGATTGTAGGTACACTTTTTCTCTCATTATCCAGTCATCTGTAGGATATTGAGTTTTTTTAAATGTGCCATTATCTATTTTGATTCTGTATTCATGTTCAAAATACAGTACAATATTTTACAATAGATTAAGTTGTTTAAAAAAAGTAGATGTGTGCTTTCAGGTCGGAAACCTTTGTATAATAGCAAAAACAGATGCATAGTAGCAACTGGCAGTAAAGCAGGATTCCATTATGTATATAACAAAGATTTAATGCATTTATAATGGGTTGTGTAGTTCATTTGCTCTTCCTTCTCCACACTATGCTGTGTGTTTTTAAGTGTAAGTGCCATCAAGTTTCTATTTGATTCAGTTTTAAATCTAAAGATGTAATTGATCCAGAGGAAAATCATGATTTCTACAATATATATACAACCATGCTATAATGAAAACTGGACAAAGAAGTACCTAAGTCATATGTGTATCATTGCAGGGCTTTAAGCATGAAAATAATAGGGATTCTAAATATTTTGTATTTTAAAGCTAAGAAAGCTGAGTTGGTAACCTCATGTGTTTAAAAGTCTTACTTTCCCAGTTTCAAGAGAAAAAGCTGTTACAGCTATTGACCGTTTCCAGGATGGTGAAATACAATGGACCTCTTACGAGAAGGAAATTAATTGCAAAGGCACAAAATGTGAATTCTGCAAGAAAGCTATACAGTCACTTTTCGTTGTCGTTTTGGTGGACTAGATGAGGCCTCATTGATTATACTATAATTTGCTCTCCTAAACACAAAGGCTTTTAAATCATATTTATATCAGTGGAGGTTTTTTTTTTATAACCAAACTGTCGCGCTTGTAAAATAAGTCTACATACATGTATAGGAGATGTGTAAACAGTTAATGAATTTCACAGTGAGGCTGGAAAAAGAACCATTAAAATCTGTGTTCAGCAAATAGAGAAAAGTTATTAGTTGTACTACCATGGATTCCGTTTTGAGACGTATGTCACACTACTTCTGTACTTAGCATTTTGGGTCTTTACATTTGACATGTTTCACAAACTGTACTGTTTTCTTTTATGTGCAGTTTGCATGAGTAAATCATCAAAGAGAATAAAATCTATCTTTAAGTTATGTTCTTATTTTAATGAAATTATAATTGTTCTAAACGGCAGCGCTGTCTTCAGACTTATTTTTTTCATCCTTGCAATTACCAGCATTTTTCTGGAAGTTGTTACTGTAATGTCAAAATGCTGTTACCTAAACAAGGACACATCTGTTTCCTTGGAAAAGAAGCCAGATTCCATTGCTCTGCAGTTGAGTTCCAGCAGCTTCTGAGGAATCAGCCTTGCGTCCTGCGTTCCAGCAGCCCGAGGTAATGTGCAGATCGCAGAGCTCACAAGCATTGCTTGGTGATAGCAGAGGTTGCTCAGCCATTTCTGGTCATTCTTGAGTTGCACAGCAGAAGTATTGTGTGTAATCAGAATTTCCAGCCAACTTCCAGGTGTCTTTATCTTACCTTAATACACGTGAAGCTAAGAAATAACCGATGTAGTCAGATGAACACAATTCTGTTGTGAAAGGCTGAGAAAACAGCATGCCCTCACATTTGGTTTTTAAAAGGTTAAAAGTGGTTTGGACTTATTTATGAATGTTGGAAGCATGATGTGTGACTCCATGTATCATCATTTGAAAAGCTCTTGAGAGATCTCTTGATGGAGGCTCTGGAGGGGAAGAAAGAAAAGGCAGAGTTGCAGTGTACTTGCATTTATTGCCTATGTTGGCCAAAGGAAATGAAATTTAAACTGCACGCAACTTTGGGTCCAATATGAGAATAATGCCCAAGGCCTCTCTTGTTTCATTATGTTCTTTTTTCTGACTATGTGAATTATGCTTGTCACTTGAAGGGGAAAAAAACATGAAGGCTATGTAATAGGGCAACTGGGCAGGGGGGGCACACCAACCCACTTCTTATTGCCAGCACTGTAAAAAGACCTGGTTTTATACCTAACTATCCCATCCAAGTGAGCTTTTTCTCTTTAAAATGCTAATAGGGGCTGAGCAGAGAAAGATGGAAGGAGATGACAAGTGTTGGATGAGTGGTGATTTCAGCTACCACAACTACAGAAGCAATTTGCTTAGAGTCAGACACAAACACTTTAATTGGTCATCATAAATGATAATGAGGAGACAACACAGTGAAATTAAGTGCATCCTAATAAAGTAAGGTATGTTAAATTACACTGAAGGAAACTTCAGCAATGCTTCTTGACATGATTAATCTACTCATGACAATGCGGCTAATGAAGGTTGTTTGCGTTTATGTGCTGCCTGTTGCTTCCCTCAGTAGAGAAATAATTGGAACTGCGCTCATTTACATTGCAGAGCAGCGAGTGTAAGATGGGCTTACAGTAGTGCTTTCCTCTGCGTTCATTTTTAACCATTGTATCAACAGTCATACAGGGATCGGTTATTTAACCTAAGTCTCACATAACATTGTGGAGGGTAGGTCCAGATGACACGACCCTAAAGTAATCTGGCTTTTTAAATTTCTATTCTTCAGTCACTATTCTTTAATAGTAAGTATCCTGGCCTTCTAATGTTATGTTTTAATACAACTTTGGGGTTTGGTTTGGTTTTTACTGGAACTTAAGATCATGACCATTCTTATCCTTCACTTTCTTCCTCTTCAAAACCTGTGTGTGATGAGCCCCTGGCAGTGTTCACGTATTTAGTGTGGAATCTCTTCTTTCTGCATATTGCTTCCTTCTTGGTTGTTTTAGGTCTCTATAGCAAACTTCCATTTCAGGAAGTCAGTAGTCAGGAAAGGAATTTCTGCACACTGTATATCTTGTTTTCTTCAGCTAAAATAGAATGAGAAGCTCATGAAACCTTGACATTGACATCTCCCTAGAACAAGATATATTACAAAATACATATTTAGGGCTAGAAGGGTGTCCTGAATCTCGTGTGTATATGGAACTGTCGGTGTTGCAAACAAAATTACAGATGCTCTGCACAACTGCTGGGCGCAGGGTGAATGCTCACGGCTTCGTAGTTCTGCAAAACGCAACTGTCTTCAAAAAGAGCTTCTGACTTCCTAGGTGTGGATTTATCATCTAATTACATGGCTGTCCATACAAGAACACGACACAAACAATCCAATTTGTGGTGTTATTTTATTTTAAGCCTTGCTTAAAGTATCTATCCCTCTTCTATTACCATTTTTATAATGATGATGTAAGCTGTTCCAACCACTTTTTTCCTATTTGTTGTTGGGGAAGAGGAGGGAGGGGAGAGAAGGTTCTTAAATTTTTAAATGAACAACCTATAACAGAACTTAATGTGGGAATGAGTACTTGATCACTTCACACCACTTTGCAGACTATGCAGGTACATTGATTATTTTTAATCCCTAGTTAAAGAAATGGTATCTTGAGCTGCATAAATGGAATGGAAATTGTAACAAGCATACAAGTACCAAGCAGCTTGCAGCAGAGAAAAAGGCTTCGTGCTTCTAGGAACGTGGTTTGGTTTTAATACCGCTAGCAGACACGGAGCAGCGAGTGGGCAGAAATTGTAACCACTTTGGACAGCAGGGCCTGGTGATACTCCAGCTTACAATTAATGAGCTTAAAGGAGAGCACTCTGGTGTAGGGAGATCTGTCGGTGCTAGACAGAAGATGAGCTCCAGGAACGAGTGCGCTGTCAGACGGATGCCTTCGGAGGAACGGATCTGCAGGTAACCAGGTTTTCCTCGCCTAACTCCCGCCTACAGCTGCCTTAATACATCAAAGTACAAACATGAGCCATTACAATTCCATTTAATGCTGTCTGTCCCCAGGTGCACTGAATGCAATGCATGCAAGTCTGATGAGAGTGTTGAGCTACCCGTAAGACAAAAGTTAATATCTTGCTTTTTTTTTTTCCTCCGCTGCCTAAAAAGTCTCTGCTGGTTTTTTGCCGTGAGCTACTACTGGCATGGTACATAAATAGTGTTTCCCTCCCTTTAGCTGAATCACTTGTTCTGGACCATTACAGAAGGCAAGAGTACTGTCCTTAATACATCACTGGAATGATACATTTTAGAAACTGAATTGTTTCAAAAAGTCTACTAATTTGTTTCCGTTTAAAAATAAAACGGCAAATTACATCCATGTCCTGTATCTAGGTTACTAATCAGAGGATAGGGAGACAAGCAAAGAGAGAACAAGCCCTCTGCTTTCGTAGCAAGCAAAATCAATTGCCTTTCTGAATAAACTGAGAAAATGAAATGGAGATTAAAGAAAACCTCCATGCTATTCACCCACCCTTCCCTCTGAACAGGACGGTGCTTTGGGTCGTGTCTCGGTGACGCCAGCCTTTCTCTCTGGCGCTGTCTCCGACACGGAGATGCATTCTGTGGTGATCTATTTCTTCAGATTGTTTACAGTGATGTTAGAAATGTTTTGATCTCACTCGAGGTAAGTGGTATAAGCATCCTGTTATTCATGACCGTGTGTTGAGGAAGATACTCTTAAAGGCGATACAATGTACAGTACAGTCATTCCAGGTGTCTATAAAATGCCAACGAACTTTATAGTCAGCATGGTTATGATTTCTAGATAAGTAAAAGGCTAATATTTCAGTTTGCTTGTTTTCTGTCCTCCCTTTCAGCAGAGTTGCTTTAAAGGGCTAATGATTTTTGCTGAAAAAATAGATAATCCTTGGTAAACGACGAACAGATGCTGTGTATTTCACTGGGTGAGAGGAACATTTTGAACACTTGATAATTTGGAATAT